CCAACACTCCGTTGTTATTCCAAAGACATAGTTTCTGATGCAGTGACGAAGGTACTGCCCCAACCCCATGAATCCATTCTCTCCCGAGGAATAGATTATAACTTGCCTTAGAAGCTACCGCTACGAAGATGGTTGCTCGAGAAACAGATCCAACCCTCAAGTTGACGATTAGGGCCCTTTTGGAACTTGAAGATTTCCCTTCGTAGTCCATTAGTACCAAGTTGTGTGGGAGTAAATCCTCTTCAGATTTCCCAATCTTTTTCAGTAAATAACTGGGCATAATATTGATAGCTGCCCCAGAATCAACGAGGACTTTGTTCACTCAAAATTTTTCGTCAATTCGAGCCGCAATGTATAGCGGCTTCATATGACTCTTCATTTCACGTGTCGGCTTCTCGAAAACAGCCGACGATTTAGCAAGTGAACCATCCTCTGCTAAATAACAATAACCCCATGGGTTATTATCGGGTTCGTCATCGGCATAGAAGTCTTCTTCATCTCCTTCGCCGATTCCTTCGGCATATTCAGCAGGCAGCATGGATACAACCCCAAGTATGTCCTCGAAATCATCTTCAAAGCCTAATTCAAATACATCGGTGATCAATTCATCATCCGCATCGTAGTCGATTTCTGGACTCTTCATCTTCAAGTTTTTCTTCATTGCTGGTGCCCTCTCTTGAGTCATTTTGACTTCGACACTAACCGGGGTACACCGCATATTTCTGGCGGCGTTTCCCTGGGCTTGTTGGACTTGATTTTGGGCTCGAATTTGGGCTTGGATTCGAGCTTGAGCTTGTGCCTGGACTTGAGCTTGAGCTTGAGCCAAGGCTTGTGCTTCATGCTCAGCCTTCCTAATTCTTTGAGCCCTTCGCCAGTGAGTTTTAGTCATAGGAGCCTTAAAATAGGGCTTTTTCGATTGAAAATGATTCCCGGATGGATTCTGGAACCCAGTTTGAGTGAAAAACTTGGGTTGTGAGAAAACTTGTTATGGCATGATCGTCGAATGTGACGGTCTGCCCTTTTCGACCATCTGCAATTTTGGTCGAGTTAATGATGGGTGCAGCACGTTCCGAACCCATGTGTTGCTCGGAACGTTTTGAGCAGGTAAAAAGGTCCTGCTTTGAACAGTCTGGGGATCCCGTATGGTGATAGAGGCATTCTGGGTCTGGATCCCTTTGTTCTCTGTGATCACCTGGTTGGTAGTTACCTGATAGTGCTTCTTCATCTCTGATTGCTCGAAGGCTTTAGCCGCCGCTTTATCGAAAACGGCGCTGCACCTCGGGCACAACATGACCTCACTGTCTGCTTCCTTCTTTCGAGTTAGAAAGTCCAGCAGCGAGTCACCAGCCTTTGGGAAGATTTCATCTTCTTCCTTCTCGAAGGCTTCAAGGGTGTCATTCAAAGAGCCTTTTCCTTCTAACTCTTCTACAGCTCGATCGAATGACCCCTGTTGTTTAGCAACGTCGACCATCAGTATGTCGATAGGTTCCACGAAATTAGCTTCTATTTGCATGGGATCAGAATTGATTTTCATCGGCATTTTGGGTTTTTGCTTGAATTTTAATCGTCCTTGTTTAATGGCGTCCTGAATAAGATCCTTGAAATGAACACAGTTATTAGTCCAATGTCCATAAACATGATGAAACTTACAATATTTTCGACCCTTTCTTTGTTCTAGAGTAGGGATTTTATGATCATCAGATAATATAATTTGCCCATCTTTCAATAAAATGTCGAAAATATGATCAGTTTTAGATACATCAAAGGCATAACTCTTATTAGGTCGAGTTTTGTCCTTAATTTCGAGTGATTTTAAAGATTGGCAAACATAAGGGGGTCCTGGTTTTAATTCAGCTACATTTACCTCATTTACCCCTAAATCGACATCTTCTTCGTCGAGATCATTCTCGCTTCCTATTTCTCCTTCAGCGAGACCTATGTAAGCCACTTTGTCTTTTCGAAGAAATTTCTCTATTTTCTTAGGGACAAATTTTTCAACCTTAAGTTGCTCGATTTGCCTCACTCTCGTCGCCAACTGCGACATGTCTCTTAACTGCTGATTAATCAATTTCTTTCTAATCGAGTACTCTAATCCGCCTATAGCCATTTGGACTAGTTCATATTCTGGAATTTGAGTAAAACATCTCGACCTCATTTGTCGAAATCTACTTAGATAATTATCAATGGATTCATTATGTATTCTTTTTATATTAACCAAATCCATTAAGCTAACTTTCGCTTCACCACGAAAGAATTGTTCATGAAACCTTCTTTCTAATTGATTCCAATTATGAATTGAATTCGGGGGTAAGGTTGTGAACCAGGTAAAGGCCCCCTTAGTCAAAGAACTAGGAAAGTACTTTAACTTTAAATCTTCATTTCGAGCTAAATCTCCACATTCTATGGCATATCTAGCTATATGTTCTGCTGTAGATTCACCGGAATCTCCGGCAAATTTAGTGAATTTTGGGACTTTCCAGCCTCGAGGTAGTTCAGCCTGCAAAATTGCCTCAGAGAATGCTGAGACAAAGTAGGGTCTAGTAGCGTACCCTACGTCGAACCCATGTTGATTCAGGACTTGTTCGACTACATTGGCAATGTTTTGAGGATTCGGGTTGTTTGGATATTGAATTTGATGCCCCCTTACATTATTTTGCCTAACGTGCTCAAGTATTTCATTAGCATTCTGATTTCGAGCAATAATAAAGGGTTGATTTCCCTGGAAATCACCCTCATTTTGTCTCAGAAGGTTCTGGTCGAGATTTCGACCAATTTGCTCAAACGGAGCATTTGGATTTCGAGCAAAAACTAGGGGTTGGTCTACCTGAAAATTTCCCTCATTTTGTCTCGGAAGATTTGGACCAAAATTTGGTCTATTTTGGTTGAAAATTTGACCATTTCGACCAAGATTTGTAGCATCTTGATTAGGTGTTTGGGCAACATTTTTCCCTTGCCTTATAGGGACTCGAGGTGCCCCAAAAACGTCAGCAATTCGACGCATTTGTTCAGCCAAAATTTGATAGCTGGTATTAGTCGTTTCCACTATGGGATTCAACACAGTGGTCATTTGATGAGTCAGCATATTGACCATCTCGTGATTGCTTTCATCCATCTGTTGCCTCATGGAATGTAAGGCAACATTCAAAAACGAGCTAGTAGGAAGTGAATCCCCACTCAAAGCTCCAAACGCAAATTGCGTTTCAGGTACTCCACCAATCGTACCCATTCCCGGTGGAATAGTATGGAGTACACCCATTCCTGGTGGAATGGTGTGACTCTGGGGTGACACGGTTGTCACCACAGGGTTAGAGTAGGTTGATACTCCAAAGATAGGAGGTATACACACGGGAGGTAAGCCAAATGGGTGATCACCCAGCCTTGGCCTTGGGCCAGGATTTATGCTGAGATTGGTTGGCGGCATAGTAGCCATAAATTGGCTAACTACGGGAGATGACGGCGTAGGTAACACCTTCGTTGGTGTGGGTTGTGCGGCAGTAGTAGTACTGCCGCTTACATTTTCTGGGTTAATATCACTACCATCACTTCTGGAATTGGCATTCCCAGAACTAGAATCACTATTTCTTCCTCTATTAGCCATAATACAACGTCCGTTACGTAATATTATGCAACAAAGCAATCAATCATTCAAAACACACAATATGGTTTCACTGGGCGTGCCAATTTGTTTACGGTGAAAAATGACATTTGTAAACAAATAATCCAAAGATCATTCTGGGGACTGGATTTAGGTCCTCTTTGGGTTCTTTTAAGTGTGTTGTTAACGTGATGCTCAAATTAACGGCGTAAAAGAGTATTAAACAAGAATAGTGAATAATAAATGTGCAGAATTAAATCAGACGTAAATGCTTTTACAGAAATGTAGCAAGCAGGAACTAAACAACGTACAAAGACATAAGTAACAAGAACTGAAATTAAAATGCAGAAAGATACATGCAGGAATTTAAAGGTGCGTGAATGTAAACGTACGACTCCTCACAACGGCAAACAACGGCCACCGTAGGTCTCCTTGTAGCTGGTGTCTGGCGCGGTGCAGGGTTTCAGCGTCTCAGAGTGTTTAGGTGCGGTGTCTGGGTGCAAAAAGTCGTCCCTTGTGAAATAATGCTTTGTAGTATTTATAGACATGAAGATCACCACCGTTTTCCTCCTTTTGCGGGCACTTCTTAGTAACTGCCTTCAACTGTTGATGCTCACTATCCACGATTGCTTGTGGTCGTGCTGTTTGTTGGGGTTGTAACCGCTATCGCCCATGATCTCCTTTGCGTAGTGGTGAATGTTGATAACTACTGGTAACCGCTTTTGGATTTTTCAATACTCCTATCTTTCGAGTATTTCTGAGAGAAACTTAGGAAACTCTTTTAATGTTATGGCCTTGGAATAGTTTCTTCTTGACTTCTCTTTTCGAGCCATTCTGGAGTTTTTGAGTCTGTCTTGGTCTTGTGGACTTAGAACATTTTCTTTGCTCATTTCTGTTTTTCGAGCAATTTTGGAGGGACTCTTGGGTTCGACCAGATTTGTGAACTTAGAATATTTTCTGACCACTTCTTGTTTTTCGAGCAATTCTGGAGGAAATCTGGAGCTCAGCCAAGTTTGTGGACTTAGAATATTTTCTTACTACTTCCTGCTTTTCGAGCAGTTTTGGGTGTCAGGTACTTGGAAACTCCTCAAATATTCCTCGAAAAGCCATCAATTTTTTGTGGACTTAGAATATTTTCCTGTTAGTCCTGTTTTTCGAGCAATTTTGGGTGTCAGGGACTTGAAAACTCCTCAAAACTCCTCGAAAAACCATCAGTTTTGTGGACTTGGAATATTTTCTTGCCAGTTCTATTTTTTGAGTAGTTTTGGGTGTCAGTGACTTAAAAACTCCTCAAAACTTCTCGAAAAAGCCTTTAGTTTTGTGATCTTAGAATATTTTCTTGTCTTTCAAGCAGTTTAGAGAAAAATCAACAATGTGACAAAAATCTCTTAAAATAGCTCGAAATGTGTTCCTTTTAATTAAAACCAAAGATCTTCCAATATTCTCTTATGTTTAGGTTTATCTTTAACTCCTTCTTGACCCTCAAAACTTGTTGAAATGTAGTTTCCTTTAAGATGATTTTTAACTTAAAAAATTTTTCTTATCCAAAACAACTCTTAATCATAATTAAACTCTCATAAAATCAACCTTCTAATTCTTCGTTAGCATGGGCATGCTCTGCGCGCTGCTCTCACTAGAAACAGATATTTGTTCTTCACTGAAAGTCTCTGCATCAACCTCACCATCCTCTTGGAGTTGTAACGCGAACTCCAGCATCCAAACGACGTCGTTCATGGACGGTCGTTGTGCCCCGTCATCAAGCAAACAACTGACTGCAGCCTCACAATACTTCTTCAAACACTCGGGCGCAATCTCGCCCTTGATCACGGGGTCCACAATCTGATCAACGGTTCCGTTTTCATAGCACTCTCTGGCCCATTCAGCAAGCGACATCTGTCTCTTCTCCACGCAATTCATCAAAGGTGGCCTCGCACACAGCACCTCGAACAAAACCACCCCAAAAGAGTACACGTCAGATTTCACAGTCAATCGCGACCGTTTATAATATTCAGGATCCAAATACCCGAGACTACCCTTGGCCACCGTGCTGACGTGGGTCTTCGAGACCCCACTGGGCCCCACTCTACACAACCCGAAATCCGAAACCTTAGCCACCCATTTCGCATCCAATAAAATGTTCGTGGTCTTCACGTCGCGGTGAATGATGCTGTCCGTCGCGCCTCTATGGAGGTAATGCAGCCCACGCGCCGCTCCCATGCAGATTCTCAGCCGTTGCTTCCACGAAAGAGGAGCGTTATCATTGTGGTAGAGATGGTCACGGAGGGTTCCACGTGGCATGAAATCGTAGGCCAGAATCATCTCGTGGCTCTCGGAACAATACCCTACCAGTGACACGAGATGAAGATGACGAAGCTGAGAAAGCATTTGAATCTCGGTTAAGAACTCGTGGGCCCCTTGTCGTGAACCGGGTCTTAACCGTTTGATCGCAACGGGTATTGAAGGACCACGGTGATCTATGTACCCTTTGTACACGTTACCAAATCCTCCCACTCCAGTTATTAAGGCATCATCGAAGTTGTTAGTGGCTTCTCTCATTTCCGCCAATGAAAACCTACGACAGAGTTCAGACGGTAACGACGAGGTTGACTTGGACTCTGTATGTTGACCCCATTTACGATAGAAGAAAGCAACCATGGAGAGAAAAACAACCCCAGAGAGCCCGCCAACAACAACCACAAGTTTTCCTATGAGGGGGTTGAGAAAACTCTTGTTGGGGTTTGGAACGTACAAGGTTGTGGGGGATGTGAATAGAACAGTGTCAGGGTTGGGTCCAGCGAGGTTACTTCCATTAGGGTTGCTGATTTTGAACACTTCGAGCCCATTTAATAATACATCGCTGTAAAGAGTCGAATCAGCTGGCCGAGGATGCATTTGGAGTGACAAATTTGACTTTTTATGATTCTCGTTATTCTTAGGAATGAACACAACGTAATCTCTGTACACAGTAAGGTTGTTGTTCTCATTGCTCCACATTTGAACATCCGCACGGGTCTCAGCCATCTGTTCCGCTATGTAGATGTAGAATGCTCTGTCGCCTCTTTCATTGATTTGTCGGTAGAATATCTCACAAAAATGAAGCCTTACCAAGTAGTAGAAGCCAGAATCAACTGGGAATTCCCATGTCAGATTAGAAATCTTATTGTGAGTGGCGTTATTACCCATGGACCTTGCTGTCTCATACATTTCTTTGGGTGCTATATAATCAGGATTAACACGAATATCCCTGCCTGATAAATCTATGGGTTCGGCACTCGAAGAGCTTAGATAATGCGTATCATCGCTTTCCCAGCTTCTGAGTATGCCAGAGTCTTGTCTGGGTGGGAGATATCTACCTCCAAAGTTAAGCCTATATTGTGTCTCAAGGGCAGTGTTGTTTTCAATTGTGAATAATGAGTCTAAGTGACCCACGAATTTGATTATGTGGTTGAAGATATCGTTGGGATCACTATAATAGAGGTAAGAGGGCATGGACACGATCTCAATTCCGTTGATGAAAGCATAAGATTTTGAAGAGGGAGTGAAGGTTAAGTTGAGGCTTTGATCATCATCATCATCATCACCTACGTGAATGATGTATTCTTTGAAGATGGTGTTGGTAGGAGAGGTGTCAGTGTCAACATCAACAAAGAGTGAAGAGTTGAAGTCTTTGAGGAGTGTGAACCCACCAGCTTTAACCGTGAACAAAGCATTAGAGCGATGGAACCCAGGGTATGAATCTGGGTAGAAGAAAAGGCGCAAGAATTTTGGGCCTGAAGTGACATTGAAAGAATAGGTGAATAGTGAATAAGAAAGACGAGCTGTGGAGTATGGGGCTTGGTTGGTAATTGAAGGAGCTTGAGCAGTGATGGTTTGGTTGTGGTGTAGGGACAAGAGTTTTGAGTTTGTGTCTTTTATCCATCTTCTATCACCATCGAAAGAGTTGGCGTTGGATCCACAATCGATGCTAAAGTTTTCAATTGGGGCATAGGCTTCAAGGAGTGTGAAAGGGTAGAATAAGAAAAGAGAGAGAGAAAGGAAGTGAATAGTGCCTAAAACTATCATGTTTTGTGAATGAAGGAGTGACAAGAGTGTTTCATGCAGAAAAATTATGAGACGTGGATGATATTAGTTCTCATAATAGTCTTCTATATAAGAGCGAATAGTGCCAGTGTTTCGTGGTTGCTTCGAAGCTTGGAAATGTCAATACTAAAAAGTTAGAAGTCTTGTGCATGTGATCTGACTATTCCATATGAGCTGAAATATAGCGAACTTAAACGAGGGTAAACTGAACGACAGAACAGTTGTCTCTTAGATTAAAAAATAATAATTAAATATTGTTTAACATTATTTACTAAAAAATAAATAAAAATTACCTGTTTAGAATAATTTTTTGTCACGTGTGTAAATTGTATTGCACTTAAACGATGGTTATTCTTTTATAAACTTATAAAGTCTATGTCATATGCGATATAACGTGTGTCTAGCCAAAAAATGTCCTAAACAAATAACTTTTTTAATTATTTAATAATTAATTTTAAAATTTAATGTTTTAGTAAAAAATCCTAATTTGAATAACTATAAAACAGTCACTAAAATCCAACAATTCAATTTTCTTCCCTAGAAGCCGTGAAATGCAGCACAAAACAAAAAAAGAAGTCCAAAATTAGAATACTATTTTTATCCTCTAAAAGGCTCTCATCTTTCACATTTCAATTTTTTAAGAATTAGTTTTTTAAATATTTTAAATGTATTTTTTTTTTTTTACATTTTAATTTATCTAAGCATATAAAAGAAATCATTCAACTGATTTTATTAACTTATTTACACACAGGAAGTAGTGAATAATTGATAAATTGGCATTACTATATTATTGAAAATTATTTATTTAATTTTAGTGAACGGTGCATAAGATGAGCTTGTTTTTGAGCTGAAGGGGAGTCTCAGTCTCTCACCTGACTTTAAGAGAAATTATTTTGCCTCCAAGAAACTAAGACGACTCGGCATATTCTCTTTCTCTTCTTCTTCTCATTATAAAAGGGTTCTTTTCGTTTTCGGTCTTGATTCAACGTTTTCTTCTTCTTCTTCTTCTTCCTTTCCGGTTTCGCTTCTTTCGAATATTCGAAATCTGCAGCATCAAGCAATTCATGAAATCTTCCTTTCTCTGCTGAATCAATGGCAACATCTGAGATTAACTGGGACAGGTTTCTTTGCTTTCACTTTCTTTTTTCATTTTTCTTATTAGGTTTTCTTTTACCTTTTCTTTTAATACTATTGCTGTGTAACCATTCTGATAGATTTGTTGTTGTTTCGTGAACTATTAATAAATATTTTCGTTGATTATCGAGAATGAACCGAAATCGAATTTAAAGAAAGGGAAGAAAATAACAGAGTACATAATTTATTTTTACTAGAAATTTAGTAGTAAGTGTTTGATATTGTTTGTTGGTTCAATGAGAAAGCATCTTTGAGGTAAGATTCAAGGTTGCGATTTGCTGCTTGTATTGTTACTCTCATTTTCCTATTAGATAAAGATTTTCTTTGCATATTGGAAATAAGCTGAAATAGAATTCGAAGAAATGGAAGAAAAATAACAAAGTACATAAATATAGGAAATGTAATTGCTTGTTATTTTTCACTAGCTCAACGAGAGAGCATCTTTGAACTCAAGATTCAAGGTTGCGTTGCGTTGCTTGCATTGTTGCTTTCATTTTCCTATTAGATAAAGATTTTCTTTGAATATCGTGTATGAAAAATATCAAAGTACGTAGCTCATTTTGACAGGAAATGTAGTAATATATGTTTCGTATTGCTCATTTGCTCAACGAAAAAGCATCTTTGAACTCAAGATTCAAGGTTGCGACGTTGTGTTATGCTGCCTGTGATTTTTTATGCCCTCCTCCCCCTTTATGTAAATTCTTCATCTTTTGAAGTGAGATCTTTTTATGGATAATGAACTTAGTATCTTGGAGCTCTACATCCCTATTAAGTTCACTTACTTCTGTAGGTTAGATAAAACAAAGTTCTATGTCGTGGGAGCAGGACTCTTTACGGGTGTTACAGTGGCACTCTACCCAGTTTCTGTCGTGAAAACTAGATTGCAGGTTGCTTCAAAGGATACTCTGGAGCGAAATGCATTTTCTGTTGTGAAAGGATTGCTTAAAACGGATGGCATCCCTGGTCTGTATAAAGGTTTTGGCACGGTTATCACTGGTGCCATTCCTGCCAGAATCATATTCCTCACTGCCTTAGAGACTACAAAGGTGGCTTCCTTTAGGATGCTTGAGCCATTTAGGTTATCTGAAACTACCCAGGCTGCCATATCAAATGGAATTGCAGGCATGGTATCGTCGCTTTTGTCACAAGCTGTGTTTGTTCCAATTGACGTGGTATGTATGATAATCTAGTTCATTTAACCTGCTGCTAAGTACAAAAACTGTATTTTTATACTTCTTTTGGACTCGCTGTCACTGATGCCTGTATGTGACACTTGTACATATGGACATAGTGGTACATTTAAATAAGTTAGTTCTTTAACAATCTTTCAATTTTGTTTTTAACTCTTCCATAAACTAAAACGGTACATTTAAATAAGTTAGTTCTTTAACAATCTTTCAATTTTGTTTTTAACTCTTCCATAAACTAAAACTTGGAATAAATTCACTGATGTTCTGTTGCAATTTAATTTTATTATAGCTCTAGAAGTGTTTATTGTTGCATACGATTATAAAAGTTGTACTAGATGTTTACTTTAAAAGTTAAACACTATTTTGCACTCTTAATTTTGAGTCAAAGTCTAACTTGGTTGTTTATCTCTCTATCTGATAAAATATTTAAAATACAATGTTCAGTTCTATAAACCTCGAGTATCTGAAAATTTTGAAGGATTGAAAGAAAGGTTTTGCAGTAATGTGCTTTGCTTTCTCTGCAGACTTACAATGTATTCTATTGGAGTATGATGCAAGATTTAACAACTACCAATTTATATGTTTTCAGTTTATTTTGCACTTCTTGTATACAGTGCTTCTTTTTAATGTTGTTAATGATATGCTCAGACAAATGAGAAAACATATTTTTATTGGTGTGTTTACTCTTTTTTGTTTTTCCTTTTGTCTTTGTCTCATTGTGGTAAGAAATTTCCTTGTGCTGTTTATCTGTGCTAATTTCTTTTCTTGTTAACTAACCATTTTTTTGTTTTTATCAAAATATAGATAATCCTTGTCAGAATATCTGGAAAATATTTCATATTATCAAATGTGTTATCATATTTTAAAGTATTTCAGTTCTCAGATGATTTCTTAGAAGTGGTTTCCATATTTCCTTATATTTCTTGATTTGCTTCTTCATCTACCTAGGTAGCATTAGCCAATTAGGAACCTAATATTAGTATAGTGCCTTGTATTTTTGTATCACATCATAATACTTTCATATCAATTTCTCTCTTTTTCTGCTTTCTTACGTAAACGTTAGTATAATTTCACCAGATCTTAAATGTTAATTGCCTTTACATCAAATGATATTTAGGTTAGTCAAAAGTTGATGGTGCAAGGATACTCAGGCCATGCCCAATATAGTGGTGGTTTGGATGTTGCTCGTAAGGTGTTAAGGTCTGATGGAATCAGGGGATTATATAGAGGTTTTGGTCTATCTGTCATGACTTATTCACCATCTAGTGCTGTATGGTGGGCAAGTTATGGCTCAAGTCAACGCTTCTTATGGAGGTGAGACATGATCATACTTTTTATTACGTCTTAAGGCTCATTTATTGTTGTATCACCTTTTCCTTGATTTTTATATTGTTTCTCAAATGGTTAGAAAAAACAAGATATCCATAGAGATTCATATATTCAACTTGACACATTTTCCTTTATGAAGTTTAACCATCATCATTGCGGTATCATGCCATTAGTAATATGAGTGTAATGAAAGAGCTAGTAAAATTTTTACACTCCAACAATCAGTTAGGTCTCTGATGCACTTCTATGTAAATGTTGATTATAATCAATGCACGATTTCAAGAAGGGCTTATATACCTTCCATTTAAGTTAAAATGTGTATCTTTATTCTATTCTGAGGATGTGGCAAAAATGCAAAAAATCAGATAAAGATCCTATTAGTTTGTTGTTATCAGTTATCTTGGTCAGATCAATTTAAAGGATTCAGCTTCAAAGGATTGTATTATGCTGCTTGAAATACATGTACGTGTAACTGTGTGGAAGTGTGGAAATTTGGAATTTCTTCTTGATTGAGAGAACCTATGAACAGCATAACCCAATTTTGCTGTGAGCTTAGTTTTTTTTTTTTCAAGTTTTTATAAAAGGACGGATTTTGTCAGTAACAGTGTAATGAACTTTCAATATACAATACATGCATACTAATATTTTATTTCTGCATTATTAGTCAAACTATCTGATATTAAGGACATTACTTGACGATGCTTTGGCAGATTCTTGGGAGATAGGTTCAGTGAGGAAGGTACTCCTCCTAGTCTATCAAAGATTATTATGGTTCAGGCCAGTGGAGGGATTTTCGCTGGTGCTACTGCATCCTGCATTACAACCCCATTGGATACTATCAAGACAAGGTTACAGGTATTCATAACCTTGTTGACCATGTTTCTTTCTCTTGCAAAAGTTCTCTGTTTTCTGTGGTCATCACTGTAGTGTGGAGTGTGATTCTTGTATTTGGTTGTAAGTAATATCTTTACTAACGAACTGGTGTTAATATATAATGTGTTTGGTAAGTTTATGAGAAACTAAAAAATTGCCTATGCTATTCTTCATTTCATCTACCTAGCTTTAATTTGACATCCCCCATAAATCACCCTAGCACTTTGTAAGGCAGACCCAAGATACCCAAACTGTTCAAGTTGTAGTATATGATGAGATACTCAATTTCACCTCCAAAATATTTTTGCATCTTACTAAACCTTTTTCCATATAGTTTGCCTTCCTCCTACTTGACCAAAATCCCTTTGACTCCAAAGCTTTTCTCCATAACCCAAGTTTAAAATTTACTCCTTTTGACATAATAACTTGGACTCAATCATTAGCAAAAAGCATGCATTGAGGCATTAGCTCTTGAACGTGCCTACTAAGTACATCCAATACCAAGGTAAAGCAGTATGAACAGAGTCTATCCCTGGTGTACAATTGTCAAGAAATGTTTCTGTTAGCATGTTTGAATATCATATTCAAAATATTAGTTTACTTTTATCAGTTTATGTATGACATTTATAAAGAATTTAATATTTTTACTCTTTTTTTTCTTCTGGAAATATTTATGTGATACCAAACCAACTGCATTTTTTGGATCATTGGATGTTTGTCTCTTTGGTTTAGTTCTGTAAATGAATCTGGTCATTCCTCTTTTCTCCTTCTATCTGCATGTTCTTTCTGTAAATTTTGACTAGCCTTATATATTGTGGATGCAAAGGCAGTAATACGTGTGTTGCTTGTGTATATGTTTTGGTAATTGTGTATTTTTCTTTCTCAGAAAGATGACAGCTAAAGAGGAATGCTAACAACATATTTTCTTACACTCTTTTTAACACACTTAGTTATTGACTAAAATTTATTGAAAACTACAAACAATCATGTGAGCTCCACTTATTCTGACTCTTAATTTAACATTTCTCTTTCATATTTTTGTAGCTTTTAATAAATTTTAACCAATAACTAGAAGTGTATTAGAAAAATGTATTGCTAGCATTCCTCGAAAGCTAAAAGGGGAAGAATTGGAACATCATTTTATGATCGCTATATAATGTTGTAATTGCATTTTACATGCTGAATCTCAACCATATTTATTTAATCTGTCATTGGCTACTCAATTTTTCTGATTGCTTACGCTACAGGTGATGGGGCTTGAAAACAAAAGTTCTGTAAAACAAATTGTCAAAGACTTGATAGTTGAGGATGGTTGGAAAGGTTTATATAGAGGATTAGGTCCAAGATTTTTCAGCATGTCAGCATGGGGTACTTCAATGATATTGGCCTATGAATATCTGAGTAAGTCTTGCTCTCTGATTACATTCTCTGTGTTTATAATCCTATTTGAGTATTCTGGTCTGGTGTATTTAAATATTGAAATAACTATATAATTTAAGTTTAGTTCTGATAATCCATGTTTAATTTGTTATTTATTGTTTTATGTTGTAACGATCCTAGTTCTGAATTGTGGTGTTGAGTAATTCTTCTGGTAAAATTTGTGATACTGCGTTTATGTTGTAGTTATACATTGTCTATGATACATTTACATCTTAAAGTTAAATGCATGCCAAATAAGAATGATTCAACCTTGCATTTAGATTATCTCCTATTTTTGTACTGGGCGGCAAAGGCAATTGGCTGGCTGAAAATTAACCATGATTGAAATATCATCTGGAGTTTTCACAAGGGATATTGGTTTTCTAAAGCCACAATTTTATAATGAATACAAACTTTTGTGGATTGAATTTTTCCTCTTGATTAGTTCTATTTTAGTCCAACCTTGGACCTTTGTTTATCTAAATTTATGGGCACTCAATGAAGAATTATACAATAGATAACTGTGTTTTGTGGTTGTGGGCGGTAGAATGCATGTGTCTTACCAGATATGCCAATTAATGAAGCCATGTATAATTTCTTTTTTCCCAAAAAATGGGCTATTAATATCTTTATCTACAATTCTACATACATATGATGTCTACTCAGTGATGACCTTGAGACAAATAGGCTATTAGTGACATCATTTATTTCCTCAAACCGGATTTATCGACCCATTCAATGCATCTTTTTCATCCTTTTTGAAGATTATTCGTTTTATTTTCTTGTTTATTTAATGTCATAGACTTGTTATTTGGCTTGTTTTCATGATTTTGCCCATTATACAAATCTGGTACGCTTTTTAGTCTTCTTGTATCATATTACCTACCTTTTCTATATGTTAAATATTTCAGCTCATTTTGAAATTATTTCAATGTTTCTTCACTCAGAGCGATTATGTGCAAAAGATGAAGAGGCAGTTGGTCTATAAACTGGTCGCGTTTCCAATTAGCCACTTGGTCCCAATCTAGTTGGTAATTGACTTTCTTTTCTTGTCGTGACTTGAAAGGTTGCAGTTCAAAAAAGGTCTTGACATCACGGTTAAACTTTTGATAGAGTTATACTAACTGATTGTTCAAGGAAATTATCGTTGGATACATAGATATAGATTTTTTCGTACTAGAAAATTGTTTTCATTCTTTTTGACAATTAAATTGGATTGGGTGTATTCTTTTCCCACACTGTTATGATAATGTACAATGGGAAGAAAAAAGTTAACAATCAGATTTATTTTTTCCTTTTCCCTCTAAATCTATGCTAATTTCAGATTTGCCTCCATACCACTGCCTTTTCGTCTTTCGATTTTGTATTGTGTGTGACTTGAAGAATAAGTATTTTCGTTACCACTTTTGCCTGGTATTACTAAGGCCGTAAATATAATATGTCATACAGAAGTGTAGGCTATTGGGCCTTTTATTGCAACTTGACTCCCCATGATTGGAATTTGAGGGGAGGGAAAAGAATGCAGGGATTAAATGGTGGAGGATGTTCCAAAAAATAACAGGAACGAATATGGAATTGAAATGTTTAAAACAAGTAAATGAGCTACTGTAAATTTATTACGCTCTAGATTGGGAGAAATTTTTGCATGGTTTAGGATTATTACGATCTTGAACAATAATAACCTAACACAAACATATTTGGCACGTGTAAAAATGTGAGTGGTTAAGATTACGTAGTCTTGGATAATTAAGTAAATATAATTAGAACCTATTTGTGGAGAAATTCTTAATTTATTCAAAGATGTGTTGTAAACTAATACAGGTATTTTGTAACTAGTGTTATGCCATGGTTGACCCTAATGACAACATTGTTATCCCTGCCTTTACAAAGCAATTCATTGCTAAGAATAACTGGGCATTTTCAGGCGAATTACATCCCACGCCAATGATAAAACATTAGTTGATTATAATTTGATATAAAAAATGATAAATTTCGTATTATAAATAACCAAAGGAAATTCATCCTCAATCTTATTCACCAACAATTAATTAAAATTAGTTAGCAGAAAGCCACTTGTAATCTAACCCCTGCAGTATTACCAAATTCTTAAATATTACACATAATCGTAAATGTTGTAGGATTAAGGATGTATTAGATTAAATAATTTAATTAAATATTTTATTTATTAAACTTTTATCTCATGAGAACTTATAAACTTCGCTGCGAAGCTTCTTTTTAATAATTTTCTACATAAGACTTGCAGAAATTAGCTAAAAAAACTTATAAAAGGATCACAAGCTACTTTCATAAACACCAATAAGCACTTCCAAGTTCTTCCTAAATAAAATATTATATAACATAGCTTAAAACAAATCCCAACCATTTAGGGTATCACTCATAATACTAGGAAATTTTAGGTTGGGTAAGTAGAATCCTGTGGCTCAAAATGCAGCCACTAACTTAATAATATGAACTGATGGTCACGCTCAGCAGAACAAATCAGGAATCAGGCGGTGTTTGAGTGGATTAAAAATCAACAATAAAACAAAAATCCCCCATAGGCGAACAAGATTCATCTAAACTCTGTGTATATAATGATACAACTCATCCAAAATTTGTATTCAACACAATATGTGTCACCTAAAACGCAGCAGATATGTCAAAAACAGACTGCAAAGAAATCAGATTGTAATTTCTCTAGGAAACTGACTCCAATCCCGAATCATTCATTTCTGTCATCTGTATGACCAGGAACATTATCATCATTATTGTCATCATCCTCATCACAATCTTCATTATCACCAACACTGTTATCATCTTCATCATCACAATCTTCATTGTCACAGTTATCACCTTCATCTTCACAAACTTCCCCCTCACTATCATCAGATTTATCATCACATACTTCTCCATCATCATGCCCCACGTTAACTCTATTCAGTTTGGCATAGTCTTCAAGGGATGCATTTGGAAATAAATGTCCAACTTTATTATCTTTAGTATCGTTTGGGGTATTTCTTGAACTCTTAGATTTGCCTTTGTTCATCTGATAGCAGAAGTAGAAAGATGAATATTCAGTAACATGCATGTGTGCGAAACATGGACAGTGTGAAAAAAAAAATGGTATAAACAATACAGGTACTGCCTTTGCCATGAATGATAAATAAATCATGTTACACCATGGCGTATATAGACTTGGGCCGATTTTAGAATACCAACATAAATTCAGGACAAATGTAATTACACATATATGTAAAAACATTAGAGAATTGTGTATGCATCAACAATAGGTACTACAAAAAGCTTCCTAACCAGGCATCGTTTAACAATCACAACTCGGTGATATGATTTTCAAATGAAACATTCTATATTCATGTTTTGTTTTAAATGCTGTCTATTAAACTACATGTTAGTGATGAAAATGAAGCAGAATATGATATGAATAGGCTTGGTTTTAGTATCTTACAGCACGCAATAGGGTTCTTCTCTCTCTCTCCCGAGAGTTCTTAATGGCCTGCAACAAAAATGTCAGTGTTATTAGGAGCTTCTGCTTTGCATAGATGAACCAATCTAACATTCCGAAGATACAAAAACATGGCAACAAGAGGGGAAGAAGAGAGTCACTGAAAAAGAAACCTCCTCAAGCATTTTTTGCTCGGCCTCAACTTCCAAAGAATCCCTACAAGAAACAAAATTACATATCAATACAGATTCATTTTTTCCTTTAATGAGTGTCAGGGTCAACTAAAGCTAACTGATATCCATCTTGAACAAAACAAATCTTACAAATACAAACAGAAAGTGAATCCTTCATAAAATGAAAGAAAGACAACCTTCCAACTATTCGGTCCCCACTGCAACAACACTTTGCACATACACCATGCTCCTTGGCACAACCTGCACAAACATCAAAGCCAATGAGCAAATACACAAAACCAAAGAAGCAAACTTGATCTTCAGTTTTCAACCAATATCATCAGGGTATTATTATCTTATATCCAAAGAGCAGTTTTCACAAACAACTTGTGCACCATTACAAGCTCCAACCAATTGAACCCGTACCCTTTTTCTCCTTCCACTTCCACACTCCAAAAATCCAATCTTTTTTTGCTTATTGCAACTTATTTGAAAACACCTACTCACCAAAACCCAACAATAAACACAAAGTTAAATTAAATTAAATGTGATACTAACCAGCACATAAGTTATGATAAGCTTGGCGAACAGCACGCTTGGAACATCTCTGGCTGCAACCCAATTAACTAATTAATGAAAAAATAAAGAAATAAAAAAATATAAATTAAGTTTTTTTAACAATAAAAAATCAAAACAAAGAAAAAAGATACCATTTAGCAGGTTGAAGAAGAGGCTTGTACTTGCCATAACGGCGTTTCCATTCAATTTGTTCCTTGCAACGAGGGCACACTCCAGTTATATCAGACAAAGGTCTCAACCTTCCTCCAACTTCCTGTGTATGAGATTGTGAATAATATTTTAGAGAGAAAAAAAGTTTTTATGGGTTTGATATGAATGAAGAGAGTTTAGAAGTAAGAATAAGAAAATGGGGTTACAAAAACATACAGTTTCATTGATTTTGCGACCAGCGTTGGGGTTCCAAGCATACTTGTTCTGATGCTTTGGGGGTCCACTCTTCTTGCCGCTGCTCATCTTCGTCTTCTGTTCATGCATTCCCTCGCAGCGCATCAAAGGCTACTTCTATTGCTCTTTTGGTAATTTACTTTTTCTTTTATTTTTAAATATTTATAAAACAAAACTTTTATTTATTTATTTTTTTAACTTTAAACTGCAATAGCTCTTTCAAAAAAACTAATAATAATCATATGCTCGAATATAATTAATTAAATTGAAACAATTTTGTTTCACTTGATTCATGTGTTTTGGTAATATTAGGTTTTTCATATGAAATATTATACAATATAACTCTTCACTTTTAAATAGAATATCGTTTTTTTAAAATGGGTCTTCAACTATTTTTAAAATTATATTATTTATACTTTTATTAAGATATATATATATATATATATATATATATATATATATTAAACATTTAATTTTATTTGTTCTTGTAATTTTTGTTTCTTTCAAATAATTTTTTAGTTAATTTTAATTTTGACATAATATATCAAATGAAACAACTTTATTATAGTATAAATTATCTAGTTATAAAATTATCTTAATTTAATTGATAATTTTGAGTTTGAGTCGTTAATCTTAAATATTTAAAAAAATCTGATATTTATAATTGTCCTACCTAAATAAATAATATGAATGTTAAGTGTTTATTTTGTATAAATTGTAGTTTGTATTTACACTTTAGAACTTGATTTAAAAGGAAATTTTATTTTTAACCCATTTTTATCTTTAAGAAAATTAAAGAATATGTGATTACTATATTTTGTAAAAAGTTATTGACTTTTGAAACTAATTTTCTTTTATCTTGATCTTGGATGACTTATAAAGTTTTTTTTTTTTTTAAATAATTTTGAAGTCTCTCAACTGCTCAGCCTTTGGAGAAGCGCTAAGCGGATTGGAGTCAGATAACAATATTTGGAAGCATGTACCAACCACTTAGCTATTGTAAAGGCGTTGAACAAATTAGGTCTAGAGAGGATGGGAGGTCTTGACTTTCAGAGTGTCTAACACTTCTCCAATAGTTCAACAATTTAGATTTCTTAATCAAGAAGAATTTTTTCGCGGTTCACTCTCTTTTCAGTCACATTGTTTTAATTTTTGGGAGTATAACAAAGAAAGAATGGAAAACAGAGGTAACGAACAAAAAACTAGAAAACAGAGGAGGAACAAAGGACCACGAAGTTTGGGATTCAACCTGATAGCATGGAGATTCATCATTTATCTTCTTTTACTCTATTCTCTCATATTTTGAGATTGACATTCACTACCATGAGTAGCTAAATTACTTTTTTATTGAAATTGAATGTAATCAGTCAAACTTTCTTGAATTTCTTTTTTATTATATTTATGCTATCTATTATTCATTGTTAGTAATTGTGATTCTACTCTTAATGCTTTAGATGAACTGATTACTCATATTTAGATTTTAAACTTTGATTTCGATTGAAAAATACTTTCTAAGTCTAATTTGAATCATATTACCTAATAGCTCTAGTGGTAGGAATATGTTTGGAGTTATTAGTTGGTTAAGTTATTGATCTTAATGCAAAGATCATGATTTGATAAACTAAGAAATCTTTGTTGGATTATAATCTTTAGTAACTCTAAATGCAAGAAATTGATTTAGAGTAACTCCAAAGAACTCAATAGTATTGATTAATAGAATCATATTTATATGACGTTAGAAATCAATTGAGTTAGATAGATGAAATTCAATCTCAACAATTTCTTTATTGTTGTTTTCTATTTATTTACACTGTTTAACTTTAATCAATTTAAAATTCAAATTAATGAATATCAAAATATGCATATAATGTATATAGTTATTTTCTCAAACTTTATGTAAAATATTAGAATCTATTATTATATTACAAGTCTATCAGATTCAACAATATTTATTTCATCTTTACTACAAATAGAATTGGTAAACTTGTCACACATAAAAATTGATTAACAGTGAAGTGATTAAAAATTATAAAAAATAATTTTAACATATTTTTATATTTTAAATTATATTTTATTTATCATTTATGATTTATGCGATGCACTAATGTGTAAAATGTAAGAATAATAATAATAATAATAATTAAAATGTAGATTGATGAGAAAATAAAAGTAAATTTTACAATAAAAAGAAACAAAAAATAATATAATGTAATTTAAAAATTTTACAACATTTAGAGTGAAATAACTATACAAATAAACACAACTTAATAATATTAATAAAATATTTTAATATTGAAAATGTTTGTGCATTTGATTATATAGTCATTAACATTAAATAATTAGTTTGATGTAATAAAAAAACATTTATTTCAATATTATTTAAAAATTTTGAAAACTTGTATAAATAGCAATTAATAAAATCATTATGTTATAAATTTTTGGGTGAAATATATAATTTCTTTAAAAAAATTTATAAGGAAATATATTAATTATTTTAATAATTTAGAATAATTTAATTTTATGTATACTCTTATAATTTAGAAGTTAATATTAAATTTCCATTCTCACGATTTTTATGATGTAAAAATTATCACAATTTTTTATTCTAATATAATGTATATTGTAACTCATGTGATTTAGATATTAATATGTATTTATTTTTTATTTAACTATTTGTATGCTTTTATACAGAACTTTTATTACCTGTATTGTAAATATTTATTCCCCTGATTTAAATATAAATATAATTTAAAGTAAAGATTTTATTCTCATATAATGTAAATATTTATTTTAATAATTTAGATAAAGGAGTGAAGTTATACTAACTTTTGTATTGTTAGATATTGTTAAATATAATTTAAAGTAAAGATTTTATTCTCATAAGTTTCTTCTAGTGATCTAAAATATTTTTTATGTAAATTTTTTATTATAATGCAAATAAATATCTAGAATTATTGTTAGATATTGACATGTGAGAAATGCTAAGAGCATATTTTTTAACACACTCGTAGTTATTAATGAAAATTTATTAAAAATAAAAAATATAAAAAATAACTAAATTAAAATAAAAAAGAGTAAGACTATTGAAAAGATACTTTGAATAACATTTAGGAGGGAAAGGGAGGAAAGATGTAACATGAATGGGTTGAGAAAAATCCATAAGTCATTGGGATATATTTTGCTGATCTTGGAAGTTTTAATGTGAATTGGGATTAGAAATCTCAACTAAGGGATACAATTTGAAGGCTTAAAAATGAGTTTAGAAATATTTAAACATGTTGATAAAGAAGAAAATCTAAAATTATTGGGAGTTATAAAATTGTTAATCAATTAAAGAATTTTATTATGAGTAATAAGAGATTATTAAGAAGATGAAAGAGAATAAACAACTAAAGGAATTACAAATCAAAATAAATTTTTGTTAGTTCCTAATCTAAAATTTTGTCTCATTCATGTGAAGGCTAATTTTTATGTTGATAGTCTTATCAATATAGATATTGATTAAAATGCTCAATTAACTTTTTCTAATGATTCTCTTTTTGAGATTAATTTATTTAGAGGAATTTTGTGGAGAGGGATGGATCAATTTCAACATAGATGGTTGAGTCAGGCAAGAAACTGCTTTGGCTGGTTGTGGGTTGCTCTCTTAAGGAAGCTTTTGGAACTTTGGTTTCACCAAAAACTTGGGCATTAGTAGTGTTATTATCATTTAATTATTGAGGGGTCACTTTTTTAATTTATTATTAATAATAATATTTTAAATAGGCTTATAAATATATTTTGACTTTAAATCTCAATTTTTTTAAAGTAAATTATTGTTATAAATTATAATTTTTTGTTAAAAAATATTACTAGAAGCATTTGAAAAACCACACTTATATTGTGTTTTTTTAAAAAATTTTAAACTAAACTTTAAAATAAACTTTATATCAAATAAAAATATATAAATTAATTTTACTTACCTAAAAAATATAATTATTTTTATAGAAAGCCAACTTTTGAAGTTTCTGGAACACTGTCCTTTGAGGCACGTGGCCAGCGGCGACTTTCTGCCTGCAAGTCATAAACCGTGGGAAAAGGCGTTGGAGTTTTTATTACCATTATTATTATATTAATATTTAATTTTAATTAACAAAATATTATATTTTAAGTTTCTTCTTTTCAACAGAGGATGGAAATTCACAATATTTGTTTATTGTGTCGACTAACTTTGAAATTTCAATTTTATGAAATTGTGTGGATTAGATTTACAGGTAGAAAACCATCTTTTATACTTTTTAATGAAATGCATTTTATTAAAAATTATGATTAAAACTAATTATATTACATGTTAGAATTATATTTAATAATTTAAAATGAATTTTATTAAAAAATAATATATCCTTTCTAGATATTTTTTGATACCTAATACCTAATGTGCTTTATGGACTTTGAAATCAAACTTGACTTTTCTGAAAATTATTTTTTATTTTGCATTGGTAAAAAATAAAAGCTATCGTCATGAAAACGCATATGAATGCGGGAATTTGCATTGCATTAGTTTTTTTTATTATTAGCTTTTTAAATTTTAATTTTAAAAGTTATAATTGATATTTTTTAATTATTAATATAATTCTTATATAAATTTTATTAAAAAATATCTATCAAATTTTAAAGTGATACTCATATAATATTTATAATAAACAAAGTAGTATACCAATCTAAAAGGATATTTCACCAAAGGGGCTAGCCATTCCTAAACTTTCAATAACAATTTTCAAATTACTCTTTTTGAGGAAATTGCAAAAAACAATCCTACAAGGAAATTCCATGATACATGTAAAGTCCAAGATGATAACATCTTCCTCTATTGTCTTCTAATATAATAACATTTTTACACTCACTTTCTCTTAATTTTGTTTATTTCTTTTTTTATTGCATTGTTTGTCACATTTTTTTTTTATATATATTTTCCTATCTTATGTATATATATGTATATCCATATTGATATTGCTGTGAACGCCCACCTCTTATTCTCCCTCTCCCTCTCTCTGATAAACCATGACGCAACCATCAACTCCATCTTTCAAAGTTGTTCAAGTTTGTTCAGTAGCACCATTACAAGGACCAACCCTTTCCACCACGCCAACCTCTCTGCCTCTAACCTTCTTTGATCTCTTATGGCTAAGGTTTCCACCTGTTGAGCGTCTCTTCTTCTACTCTTTCCCACACTCATCTTCTTCTTTCTTTGATTCTGTTCTTCCTGCTCTCAAACACTCTCTTTCACTCACTCTCCAACACTTTCTCCCTTTCGCTGGTAACATCACATGGCCACATGATTCTTCCATACCCATCATCAACTATTTTCCTGGTGATGCTGTTTCCTTCACTGTTGCTGAGTCCAATGCAAACTTCACCCATCTTTGTTCCCATCTTTGTGAAGCAGAAAAAAGACAACCCTTGATACCCCATTTGAATACTTCTCATGAACAAGCTTCTGTGTTAGCACTTCAAGTCACTGTGTTCCCAAATTCCGGTTTTTGCATTGGAATAACCACACACCATGCAGCTTTTGATGGAAAATCTTCAACTTTGTTTATGAAATCATGGGCTTATGCATGCTCCAATAACCTTGGAGAATCATCGTCTTTGTCATTACCTCAACATCTAACACCTTTCTTTGATAGATCAGTGATAAAAGACCCTGAAGGAATTAGCCAAGCCTATGTGGATGCATGGATGAATCATGGAGGATCAAACAATCGGAGTCTCAAGGTGTGGGAGTCCATTAATGCAACACCAAGTGATGCAGTTAAAGGTTTGTTTGAATTAACCCCTTCACATATTGAGAAGCTCAAGCAACATGCAAATTCTAAGATGAAAACAAAGGTTAAGTTATCAACGTTTTCAGTTACATGTGCTTATGTTTTAGCATGTTTGGTCAAAGCAGAACAACCAAAGACAAATCGTATAGTGTTCATATTTAGTGTGGATTGTAGATCTCGTTTGGACCCTCCAATTCCTGCCACGTATTTTGGAAATTGTGTTGGAGGCCAAATGGTTGTGGCTGAGACAAAGGACTTAGTAGAAAATGATGGATTTATTACTACTTTGGAGGGGATAAATGAAGCCTTGATTAGAGTGAAGGATGGAGTGTTAAATGGAGCAAAAGATTTGGTTTCAAATATGCAAAAAGCAACCACGGACAGAATATTTTCTACTGCTGGATCACCATGGTTTGAGGTTTATAGTACTGATTTTGGATGGGGGAGGCCAAAGAAGGTGGATATGGCTTCAATAGACAGAACAGGAGCATTTTCTCTTTCTGAAAGTAGGAATAATGATGGAGGAATTGAGATTGGATTGGTGTTATGTAAACGGGAGATGGAAGCTTTCAGTACCCTATTTGTTCAAGGACTTGAATCCTTTTAAAGTTTAAAACTTGACTATTTTGAGGGAAGGATAATAATTCCATGAATATGTTTCATGCTATAGAGTGCTTTTCCTAGTTCCCAAGAGCATATATTTTCATAGTATTTGCCATTAATATCTTTATAAACCTATGCAATACTTTTAGGCTGAATAAGCAAAAATTGTGAGTCTTAGTCTGGTAATTAATGTCACAAAAAATTGTATTATCATATATGGAAGCATCTAGTGACTATTCTTTACCAGTACCCTTAATGTGCTGTGAAGTTAGCTTTTGCTGTTTATAACGTTTCCAATTGGGATTACTTGAATTATTGTTTTTGGTCCGTTTTCAATGTACTGTGAACGTTTGTCTTCTATTTCAATGGAATGTTGACAGTGAAGGAAGGAGACAAAACACCAGTCCAATCATGTCGATGCCCTTTTGTGGAAAAGAGTTTAGACTTTTTTGGTAAATTGCATGCTGTTTGGTTGAAGGAAATGGTAATTTTTTTATAATATTTTCACCTTTAATTTAATATTTTAGAAAGAAAAAGAAGGGACCCAAATTTCTCTTTACTTATTTCGCCTTTCCGTTCTTTATGATCAAAGATTCCAAATTGGAATGATCAAAGAAGAATTTTCCGAGGTTATGGAGACTTCATGAATGCTATGGATATTGAAATTTCAGAGCAATTACGTTATTCTATTTTGGAAAATAATCTATGGACACTCCTAAATTCGAATGTGAAATGAATAAAGAAAGATTTTATAATAATATTAAATGTGTTTAATAAAATTTCTCGTCCTAACTTCAGTTAATAATATTTTACCTAAATTTTTCTTTTTCTTTTTCTTATACTATACTATGATACTACACCGTCCTCTATCATCATCAAAGCCCCCTTGAAAAGTTACCCTCTCTCCCTTTCATTCACTACGATTGAACACTTGACAATAAGGGTTTTAGTTTATGTTTTGTGAAAAGAAAATTGATTGATCCATGCTACTGGTAAGGATGATAAAATATTTTATTTCTCTTACTTTTGAATATTTTGTCCTTTCTGCATTTCAGGAAGAATTTAAATAGGATGAAGACTAACACAATTTACAAGAATAATTTTAATAATATACTCTTTAACATAATTTTTATTATTAAATAAAATTTATATTAATTTTATTCTTAAACTAATGTTTTTGTTTCTGTGGCATGATCGTAGGATTTGGATTAAGGTTTTTGTGGTTTATCGATGAACTGTGACAGATAGCTTCAAAAATTGATGTTTAAAATGACGTGCGCAGGCAAACAAAAACGCAATATACTATGAAAAAGATTGTACACAGTGAAAGAAGATTGCTTCCTTCCTAAATGTATTATATTTGGTCAGAATGAACTTAAAGTAATTTTTGAAACTTTAATTGCTTAAAAATATAAACAAAAAATTATTTTATTAAATAAGGTGGAACATGGTGGTCCAAAATAGTAAGATACTACCCTATTACACAAATCCGGATCCTACCACAACTGCACTGAATCCGGATCTGTCATTACTATGATTGTTGATAATACACAAATCTCAAAATTCTCGTTTTTCCTGTTTCCTGTAGTAAAATTCACTGTATATTTTGGTGACACATCATTATCATTGTCTCAACATTTAACGGAGCAGTGATATAATAGACCCCGCAGAAGTCGGTGAAGCACTTAAAGAATGCACAGTGATGCAATTAAAAGTTAATTTGAATTAACCCCTTCACATATCCAAAAGCTCAAGTAATATGCACACTCTAAACTGAAAATGAAGTTTCAGTTATCAACGTTCACCTAATTTAAGTAAGCTTACACACAAGTATTTTTTGGCATTTTTTGTCAAAGCAAAACAAACAAGACCAATAGAGTAGTTCACATATTTATGTGAAGAATTGAGTGCTAAGTGGAGTAGAATGTAGAAACTTTGGTTTCAGATGGCTGGTTTAAGGGGAAAGAAGAGTCCCTTCAAGCAATATGATCTATGATGGTCAGTTTCTGTGCTGCTAACTTGATCTATGTACAAACAAAATTTATTTGTTACAAGGTAGCACCTTAATGTGATATCCTTGTAACACTACAATAAGTGAACCGAAGAAATACAAGATTTGTCAAAATTAAAAAAATTTGCAACATTGAAAATGTAACATTTAGTTGCAATTGGCCAAGCTATAATTAGAACTGGGATCATGATGCTCCTTCTCAGCATCTGCTCTTTCCTGCAAAAGCAATGCATTCTCTAGAACCACTTCCACTTCCCCCATTGTTGGTCTCTCTTCACCATCTGAAGCCAAACATCTCTGAAGGATCTCAATGAACACTTGCCAACACTCTGGTGCTATTTTTCCCATGAGACATGGATCAACAATCTTCTCAGGAACACCTTTTCTTTCATCATTAAAGGCCCACTTGACAAGGTACACATAAACTCCATAAGGGGTCAAAAAACATGCTTCTTTCCTACATAAAATCTCCAACAAAACCACACCAAAAGAATACACATCACACTTCTTTGATAGCCATCCATACATATGAAACTCTGGGTCCATGTATTCCAAACTAACTTCCAAATCCTCCCTCACCTCAACTCTTGGTGGTTTTGGCCTTGAATCCCCTTGAGGTTCCTTCTTGCATAGCCCAAAATCTGCCAATTTAGGCACCAAATTATGGTCCAAAAGAATGTTGCTTGATTTCACTGCACGGTGAATGATGGGTATCTTTGATCCAAAATGAATGTAGTGTAGTCCACGAGCCACACCAATACAAATGTTTAGTCTTTGTTTCCATGACAATGGAACAACATTGTTAATGTTGGTACCATGCAAACAATCATAGAGGCTTCCATTAGAGACATAATCATACACAACGAACTTGTCACTTTTATGCTCACCAAAACCAATCAAAGGAACAACATTTGGGTGGTGTAGTTGACAAAGAATTTTAACTTCAGCCCTGAATTCTGTATCACCAGCTGGGCTTCTAGTCTTGAACTTCTTGATTGCAACATATCCTTGGGCTTTGAGGTGGCCTTTGTAGACCTGACATGGGCCTTCTCCACTAACAATTGAACTTTGGTTGAAGTTGTTTGTGGCTTTTTGAAGTTGAGCACAAGAATAACGGTGACATAGTTGTTCGAGAGGGATAAAGTGGTTTTTGGTGTTGGATTTTGGGGTGGTGAAGCATGATAGACATGGAAAAGGACCCATTTTGCAGAGGAATTAATGCTGTGTGAAGCTTAATTAGGTGCAAAGATGTTCTTGCTGCTATGATTGGATGGGTTGATTCACACGGTTTGGTCAAATTAGCGGGCTTTAGTTGAAGACTTGTGACTATTTGAGTTAGTTGAAATTTTAGACCAATTATCATACACAAAAGTCGTCTCGCCTATTTGGTTGTTTTTTCTTGTAATAATATGTGAAAAATGTTAATATCAGCTAATAAATATGATTTTTGTAAACATTTGTTAAAAATTATTTATTATATATTTGATATAATATAAGTTTATTATTTTTAAATAATCAAAATCAAATTTTAAGAGTTGATGTTAACAAATCTGCAATAATAATATCCACTAGACATTTTGGTGGGAATAGAATTCTCTCATTTTTTACATATGATGTATGGGAGTCACATGCCCTGAAGCCTAATCTTTAGACCAAAGTTTAACAATGACACATGTTACATTACATTAAATTAAATTTACTCAACTTAGAATTTGTTTTTTTTTTTTAATTTTGGAATTTGAGTGCATATTTGGGTTTTCTTTAGGCTTATTTAGTAGTTTAGGGATATATCCAGGGAAGAGGTTAAATAGTGGAGGTAAGCTTCAACCTATGCAAGAGGCAATATAAAGAGATTGGAATCATATGCATGGACACACAGGTTTGGATTCCTTTTTCCTCTTGTAAATATTTAGGTTATTACAACTTGACTATTTGCTTAGCTTGCTCCAAGTTGTTTGTTTCACCAAACTGACAATGATTGCACCGATATGGATTGCAAATGAATTAATAAAATAAGAAAAATGTTTTATCACTCCTTGAAATTAATTTTAAAAAATAAAATATGACAAGTTTATATATAAAAAAGTATTTATTATATTAAAATAAAAAATGTAAATAAATATTTTCATTTTAATAACTATTTTTAGATGTTTAAAATCAATTCTAAAAATTAATGCTAAAACAATTGATAAAAAAGAACAGGTATCATTAATTAATATTCTTCTTGTTTATTAATAAAAAAACCCAGTTAAAATAACATTTCACATAACATTCTTGTAAATACAAAATCAATTTTAAAGGTACTATTTACAAAGTTAATTTACTGAAAAATAATTCTACAATGAAAGTATTCTCAGCGTTAAATTCCAAGATTCATAACCTTTCTTACTCTAGTAATATTATATAATAGTAATAATGATAAATTTGAATCTTAGGTATTGAATTAAAGTATTTTTAAGAGTTATTTTTATTCATATTAAGTCACCTGATTTTTATTGCATTAAATATTTTCTTTTAATTTTTGTATATATATATTTTTTAGAATTTTGTTAAAATTACTAGTCAAAGAATAAAAAATATTTTTCATTAAAAATTACATTAATGATACATTAAGAATTATTAAAAGAAGTTCACTGTCACACTTTTTGATAAGATATTTTCACATTTGATTCAATAATGACATCAGTTAGCAGTTTATTTTTTTATTCCACTTAAATGCTTATTAATTAAATTTAGTTTCTTTAAAAGTTATTACTTAAATGTAGTTACTCTTAATTAAATATGAATTGCATTTTGATTTTTAAATATTGACGTACTTTATCAAATTAATTGTTGTAGAAATGATATGTCTTTATTAAATAATTTATTTTCATTTTCTTTTTGCAAAATATTATCTTTTTTTGCTAAACTTTATCTTTTCAATTTATTTAATTTTATAAAATAACATTTTTACTATTAAAAACAAAACATATACCATTATACTTTATTTATTTCCAAGATTCATAGTTTCATTATTATTGAATTAATAATAATAATAATATATTTTTCTCATAGTTTTTATTTTTAACTTATATTTATGTTATTATGTATAAAAAAACTCGAGCTATACCAAAAGAAATTTGTTAATTATGAAAGATGACAAAGTTCAGAGAATATTCCATCCAAAATATATAAAAAGAAATTTAGAATTATATATATCTTTTTGGGATGACGACGAAATTCAAAGAATATGCCTCGCGTTTAAAGATCTATCAGTATGAATATGATTATTGCATCATTAAAACCGAATTTTAATATAAATAAATTTCAAAATAGGTAAAATAAGAATTTTATAATATTTTTAATAAAAATAAATATATATAAAAGTTCTTGCATCCCAGTTTTAAACGACTATGTTTTGAGCATTGAAGTACAGCAGCATGACAATGGTGGATAAACCACAATCTTATATTATTGTCTAATCCACCGCGAATATAAATGTACCCAACCAACCACCAACCGAGAAGCTAGAGCACATACTTCAATTTCATACTTTATCTTTACGGTTTACCAAAATGTCGCAGATTTTTTGTCTCTCAAAATCCAAATCAGCACTTCAACCGTTAGTGTTCTTCTTTGCAGAAGCACTGAGTTTGGCGATAAGTATGAAAAGTAGGAAACTTTTCACACTCAACTTCATCAAGTATTCTTTTGTAGTGCTTTCGTTTCCAATAATTAATGCAACATAACCGCTTTCCCTTTCGGCTGTACTATGAGGATTGAAAACTCCTTAAGCCATTATTGCTTTTTCCCATAAATTAGATTTAGACCCCTCTGTGATTTTCTTCACTTCCTTAAGAGACCCCCCACTGATCCAAATTAGTCATTGTGTAAATGGGTTCTCTGCTGTGCTTGCTTTTGGTTATTATTCTTCCCTTGTGTTGTTGTGTTGATGCTGCTTGCTCTAGTGGAAACTGCAGGGTTTGTGTTGCCTATCACCTCTTCTTTGAATCATGCTTTTGAGTTTTTGGTTTTTATCTCGATGTTTTTGAATCTTTGATCAGCTTCATGATGGGTGCTCGTCTAATGGTGATTGTGGAACCGGGCTCTATTGTTTCTCATGTCCACTTGGGTTTTCTGGCTCTAGGTGCGTGAGATCTTCCATCACAGATCAATTCAAGCTCATAGTAAGATATCCATTTCTCTTTAGTCTTTGCCTGATTTCACAAGGAACTGTCACAACAAATGCATAGATGACAACCCACCTAATTCCTATGTATCAAACTTCTGAACACCAGCATCAAGTGACAAAATTTATAGTGGTTGGACACTCGGTGTAGGCCAGAAACTACTTCATCATTTCACATGAGGGCATTGTAAATTTTTAGACCAAAAGAGAATATATGATACATGCACATTCTTTTAGAGAGGGAAAGGGGAAATTCAGTATTTCATCTTAATCTTATGTTAATTGGTTCTTTATTTCTTTTAGAATAACTCTTTACCATTCAACAAATACGCATTTTTGACAACGCACAACGCTTTTGCCATTGATGGCGAACCATCTCACACAGGAGTGCCTCGAGCAACCATCACTAACCAGGAAGACAGTATAACCCAGCAGCTACATGTATGCCATTCATTACTACTAAGCTTTGCTTCTGCTCACTTTTCCAGATATTCTGTTTCTTACAAGCATTCATCAATGGTTTCATTTGTAGAGTGGAGTTCGGGGACTAATGCTAGATGCATACGATTTTGATGGAAATGTGTGGTTATGCCATTCATTTCAAGGCCAGTGCTATGATTTCACAGCTTTTGTATGTAAAAAATAATCTTCCAAGTTCTGTTTCTTTTTGGCCTATGCTTTCCTAACTTGTTTCTTAGCAAACACTAATGACTAATGAGTAGTTAGTTACCACTACACAAGTACCCTAACTTCGTAATCAACAAGTAGGAACCGGCTATAGATACACTCAAGGAAATTGCAGCTTTTCTATCAGCCAACCCAACAGAAATTGTCACACTCATATTGGAAGATTATGTTAAAACACCAAAAGGATTGACAAAAGTCTTCACCGAAGCTGGTTTGATGAAGTTTTGGTTTCCTGTGACAAGCATGCCAAAAAATGGGGGAGATTGGCCTCTGGTGAGGGACATGGTTGCTAAAAGCCATAGATTACTAGTGTTCACTTCAGTAAGGTCTAAGGAACAAAGTGAAGGCATTGCTTATCAGTGGAATTACATGGTTGAAAATCAGTGTAAGAAAACACCAACCATCAAAGCTCCTTTATTCTTTAACACATGCATTGATCTTCCTTTGTCAATTTCATTTTGATGATCTAGTTTCTGCAGATGGGGATGGTGGAAGGAATGCAGGAAGCTGTGCACATAGAGCAGAATCATCTCCTCTTGATGATAAGAGCAAGTCCTTGGTGTTGGTAAACTATTTTCGATCGGCTCCGCTTAAGCCGATCACATGTATGGATAATTCTGGAGGCCTCATTGACATGCTAAAAACATGTCATGGTGCTGCTGGCAACAGGTGGGCTAATTATGTCGCTGTTGATTATTACAAGGTAGGTCTATGGCATATTTTTCACTTTTTCTTGTAACTTCTGTTGCGAAAGCAAAAACTTTGGAACACATGTATCCCTCTATTCTTACAATTTTGGGACCATTGTGAAGAGGAGTGAAGGAGGAGGATCTTTTCAAGCCGTGGACACCCTCAATGGGAAGCTGTTGTGCGGTTGTAATGATGTTCATGCTTGCGTGGTAAGGGAATTTGCACCCTTGCTTTCTATAAAACACAGCTAATATATAACTGCCAACAATTGAATTTTGGTTCTTCCATTTTGCAGCCTGGATCTACTTCACAAGCTTGCTCAGCATAGAAAGCATAGCAATTCCAAATGTGTTAGCTATAGTTACTGGAAGATGTTGAAACATGCAAGTGAAAATTTTAGGAAGGACGAACCTTATGTCCTATTCTTTAGACGTGTATTTACCACTTAAGAGTTTTACTTTAACGTTATCGAAGATTATCCAAATACTGTGGAAAGTGTTTTAAGATTTAGTTTAAACCATAATTCCACGTGATTGCTCTGCATTTTGGTCTCTACCTACAATTATACAAGTTTCGTTTTCTGTGGCCATAGTCTTAGTAGATTCGGTTATATGCTTTTATTCGGCAATCCATAATGTAGCTATGCATTTGTTGTTGAAATCCTTTTATAGTTGTCATCCCTAAGGAAAAAATAACAGAGTAAGAGTACAAGAGACTATTAGGTGAGAAAATTATTGAGTCACGTTCTGAAAGAAACCTAAAAATTAATTATTGGAAGAAAAAATGTTACAATAATTGAACACACTTAGGCTAATAACAAAAATGTTGATATAGAAGCACTATAATTCCTGTACAGCTTAAAGTATATCATTATATTACCATTAAGAAAATGAAATAGAGGTGTTGGAAATTTGGAATGCTCAACGCGCCTTTGGCTCCATAATCTCGGAGAAGACGGTTCCAGACCCAGACAATAACCTATCGCTACTCTTATCATCAGCAGAATAACTACGTTCTCCGCTAGTGGTCGTAGTCACACTGTGGTTAAAATCGGAAACCTGTCCCACACTCGTTCCACTACTGAACATATCCTCGCTATCTTCTCTTCTGTCGTTAACCATTTCAACACCATTCTCATTCTCATTCTCACGCTGCTCCGCGCTCTCTTGCAACTGCAACGCGAACTCCAGCATCCAAACGACGTCGTTCATCGACGGCCTCTGGGTCCCATCGTCCAACAAACAACTAACCCCAATCTCGCAAAACTTCTTCAGGCACTCGGGTGCGATTCTACCTTTCAACGCGGGGTCCACAATCTGACCCACCGTCCCATTTTGGTAACAGTGTCTGGCCCAATCAGCCAGCGACACCTGTTTCTTCTCCGCGGTGCGGATCAGAGGCGGCCGAGCGCAGAGTATCTCAAACAACACAACCCCGAAGGAATACACGTCAGATTTTTCAGTTAAACGCTGTCGTTTGTAGTACTCCGGGTCCAAATACCCCACGCTCCCTTTCACGACCGTGCTCACGTGGGCCTTGGACATCCCCGTGGGCCCAATTCTTGAAAGCCCGAAGTCTGAAACCTTGGCCACCCACTTCTCATCCAGTAAAATGTTGGTGGTCTTCACGTCGCGGTGGATGATCGTGTGCTTCGCGCCTGAATGGAGATAATGCAGCCCCCGCGCCGCGCCGATGCAGAGCTGCAAGCGCCGCTTCCACGAGAGAGCGGGGTTATCGGTGTTGTAGAGATGGTCGCGGAGAGTTCCACGAGTCATGAAGTCGTAGACGAGGATCATCTCGTTGCTTTCGTTGCAGTAACCGATGAGGGAAACGAGGTGAAGGTGACGAAGCTGCGAGAGCATCTCGATCTCGTTCATGAACTCGTGCGCACCTTGCTGCGAACCTGGCTTAAGGCGCTTGATGGCGACGGGGGTGGAACCGCCGTCGATGTAGCCTTTGTACACGTGGCCGAATCCCCCGACGCCGACGATGAACACGTCGTCGAAGTTGTTGGTGGCGGTTTTGATCTCGGGGAGGGAGAAGTGGCGGCAGAGATCCGACGGCAACGACTTTTGCGTGTTGGTTGACTTGGTCGTCGCAAACGACAGTGGACCCCACTTGGATGTCGCGGAGGACTTGGTAGATTTAGAAGTCTTGGCTTTCCTTGGCTTATTCCGAACAAATAGGAAAACGACAAAGGAGATCAAAACGACACCGGCTACCACGCCGACGACGAGTCCAACAATTGTCGTTGTGCTGCTGCTTTTTTTATTCGAACTCTGACCGGACGGGTTGGGTGGAGCCTGAACCGGGTCCGGGTTAGGTCCGGCAAGGTTGTTCTGGTCGCTGATTTTAAAAATTTCGAGACCGTTCAAGAACGGGTCGCTGTATTTGGTATCTCTAGCACTCGAATAGGGATGCATTTGGAGGGAGAGGTTAACCTTTTTATAAGGGTTGTTAGGGATGAAAACGGCGTAGTCTTTGTGCACAGCGAGGCCTATTTGTGTATGGGCCCATTTCAAGACATCGGCCCGTTCTTCAGCTACCTGGCCCGCTATGTAGATGAAGAAAACCCTGTCACTGTTTTCAGTGACATTGGGGTCAATTTCACAAAAATGGAGCCTGAGCATGTAGTAGAAGCCAGAATCAACGGGGAACTCCCATGTCAAGTTGAGGCGTTTGTTAAGAGCGGCGTTAAGGCCCATCTCACGCGCCGTTCTGAAGAGTTCCACCGGTGCCACGTAATCAGGATTCACGGTTATGTTCATGACGCGGTTCACGTCAGCTGGTAGGCTTCTTAGCGCACTCGGGGTCATTAGAAAAGCGTCGTCCTGACCCGCCCAATCTCTCAACAAACCGACGTCGTTTCGCGGCGATATTCCCTGGCCTCCCACTTTGATTCTGTAATCCATCTCCAGCGCTTTAGTGGCATCCACGCTGTAGACCGAGTTCGTTCCGACGAGATTGAACCCTTGGTCCGACGTGTAATAGAGGTCGTTGGGCATGGATAGGACCTCGATTCCGTTCACGAAAGCGTAGGTGTTCGGTTGCGACGACGAAGGGATGAAGGTGAGGTTGAGTCTCTGAGCGTCGTCGACGTTGACGATGTATTCTCGTACGATTGTGTCGGTTTTTTGTGCGGCGGCGTTGAGGGAAGCGTTGAAGTCGTGGAGGAGGGTGAATTGGTTGGATTGAACGGTGAAAAAGGCTTGGGAGGGAGGGAAGGAAGGGTATAGGGTTGGGTAGAAGAAGAGGCGAAGGAATTTGGGGCCTGCGGTGAGAGGGAAGGAGTAGGTGAATTGGGAACGGGACAAGCGTGCGGTGGTGTATGGGATTTGTTTGGTGGAAGAGGACTGGGTTGTAGCTGTGGCGGAAACGGTGTCGTGTTGGAAGGGTAAGAATTTAGAGTCTATGTCCCCTGTCCATGTCCTATCCCCGTCGGAGGAGTTGCCGGTGACACCGCAGCTGATGGTGAAGTGCTCCTCTGGAGTGTAAGATTGAAGGTGTGTGGAGAGGTGTAGAAGAACTAAGAAGAAAAGCAAAGTGAGCCTGAGCCTCATGGTTGATGTGATACACTAGGAAGTGAGGTTGTGAAGAGTTTTAATAGTTGTAATCATCATCATGGCTATTGGCTTGTATGGGGGATTGTAGTTGCTGGGAAAGTTCAGAGTGTAAGCCGAAGAAGACTTGAATTGAAGAGGGAGGAGACTGGGATAGGGACTTTTCTTCTTCTTTGGTATAAAAATTGGACACGATACACACAAGTCAATGGTTTAGTTCAGTGTCAATGGTTTAGATATGCACGGATTGAAACAATTGCCCTTAAAAATTAGTTATGTTATTTTCACACTAATACTAGCAAACACAAGAGATTCAAAGAGACAGATAAATTAGACTCACCCAATCAACTCTCCACCCAAGTCTGCTACAACTTGCTAAATAAAATCTAGGATTTAGATTATATTTATATCTTTTAGTCTAGTATAAGTTAAATCCCTAAAAATATTTAAAAAAATGCTATTAAGTATGAATATTAATTTTGCAAGTTTTAATTGGATTCAAGCTTCTTTACTCCACCTGCTAAAATTCATCACATGCAGTCAAATGGACTAGCTAGCTCATTTTACCATGTATAAATAAAATATGTGATGAAATATAGATTATGCGGCTTAGAGAATATAAAAAAATGCTGCAGAAATTATTGAAAATGAATTACATAAAGTATAGGAAATGATTATTTAAGTAAATGCACAATTGCTGTTTAAAAATGAGTTATGTTAATTTTAAAAAAATTTGCACTTGCAAAGGAAGAGAGATAAAGAGATAAAAAAAATGAGTTAAATATATTTGTAGTCTTTTAAAAATACATTCAAATTTTATTTTGGTTTTTTATAAATTTATTTTAGTCTTTATATTTTTAAAATTTGTTGATTTTGGTTTCTGGTCACTACTAAATGACAACCTATTAATTAAGATATTATCACATGTCAATTTTGTGTCATGCGTTATTTTTTAAAAAAAATATTAAAAGGGATGGAAATTACAATTTTTGAGAATATATATTTTTTAAATTAAAGAGATTAATATTAAAATTTAATATACTTAGTGGGACTAAAAAATTATTTTAGTAAAAAATATTAGACGTAAAATAAAATAGATAATATGGCAAAGAGATTAATATTAATTGGTTTTTCTAAATTTATTTTAGTTCTTATATTTTTAAAATTTATTAATGTTGGTTTTTGTCACTATGAAATGATGATGTGTTAATTAAGATATTATCACGAGTCAGTGTTATCTTTTTGTAAAAATAATTAATAAAAGGGATTGGAATTAATTTTTTAAATATAAAATTAATTTTTTTACAGAGATTAATACTAAAATCTAATATATTTTCTGGGACTAAAAAAATATTTAAGTAAAAAAAAAGTAAACGTAAATTAAAATATATAATACGACGAAGAGAATTAAAAAAATGCTGTGAGAAATTTTTGAGAAACATAGTCGAGGCAATGATAATTTGTGCCATGAGACTTAAAAAATGGCACTCTCTGAGTCATTGGGCTTTGTCTTATCTGCAGAATTAGCAGATATTGTTGGCATGCTCTCTGAAGAAGAATCTGCTCCTTTCGTTTTCAATTCTTATGAATTATCAAATGAATGAGATCCCCTGAACGTGAGGTCATTACTTGTTATTGAAAATTAGGATTCTTAAACTCAATTTATATTTTTCGTTGATTATTTTTTAGTGCAGATTTTAGACTATTCTTAAAGTTGAGATTATGATTAAACAATTGTAAACTGTGTATTAACATAATCCATTTTGTCTTGTAATATTTATCTTCTTTATGACCAAGTCAGGGCTGCTTATTTTTTCAGTGTCTTGTACTCTAGTAGCTGTAGTACTCGTAATTGTTCAAAATAATAATAATTGAACATTGTAATGGGACATTGAAAAGGCAGCTAATAGCTGAAATTGACCTTCGCATATACATGACAGGTTATGTGTAACTAGTAGAGTTGAAGCATAAGTTCTTCAGTTTATACCAAAGTGTACCATTTGAAAAATTGGTGATAATCTTGTGTGTGTGTGTGTTAAGAGCTAGCAAAGTATTCATGAGTTGGATAAAGGATTTTAAGTTGTGATAATTTCCATTATTTAAAGTCAGGTTTAATCTAGATTCAAAGATAATAAATTATAATTATTATCATATGATATTTTATTTAAATTATAATTAAATATTAATTTAAAGTAAAATATTTATCCCGTGTATTAAACCATGCTATATACTATTTATAATTATGTTTATACAAAAAGAATTTAAAATACTCATCTTGAACATGTAAATCAACTATTAAGAGACCCTATCTGCGCTGCAGACAAAAAAAAAATAAAAAAAATAAAAACCTGGAGAGAGAAAGTAAAGACCTGAAAAGTAAAAACACATTCTAAACGACCGCGTTTTAGGGATTCTTAAAAATTATCTGTTATTGCACCCTTCTACTCGCTGCCTTATCCGGCGACGGCGCTCACTGCCTCCACCGCCGTTGGTATGTGCTTCTTCTCTGATGCTCTTATTTTATTAATTTCAAATTTCATTTAATTAGATATTTGGATTAGAACGTAAATTTAATATAAATAATTTTAAGAGGAAAATGAATTAGTATGTTCCTGTAACAGTGACGTGAACTGAGATAATTTTTTTGCGTCTAACTAGCAAGAAATTTTTTTTTGTTTGATTGGATCAATGCCTCTGTTACCTAGAGTTGAATGATTCCTACTAGTTGTATTACACTACTACTACATAGGAACAAGCTAAATGATTTTATTCTTGTACATTGTAAACAATCAAAACGGGAGTGAGGGTTGGAGTATAATTTGGTTTCTGAAGTTACAGTAGTTGTCTCCGCCTGATGATTATAGTAATTAGTAACATTAATTGGTAATACTGCTTCAGTTTCAAATTGTTTGATATAATTTGCACAATGTTGAATCATTCTATAAGTTTGGTTCTTCTTTTATGGTTGGCTATAATGAACATATTTATAGTCAAACATGCACAATGATCTGGAATTGGAACGAGCTATTTGAAGGAATTAGTGTGATAGAGTGCAGGAATGATACTTTAATAGATTATTTATTTATTTATACATTTGTCAAAAGATTGAGTTTGGATGTATCATTAAAATATGCTTTACTTCTAATCCTTGGGGGTTCTTTATTTTTCTAGCTGTACTTATTTACCCAATATTCAATCATGAGCATTAAGTGGGTGTTTTAGAGAGAGAAATCATTATTGGACCTTCATTTAGCAATTAAAGCATTTAGGAGAGTTAATTTTTGATAGTTTCATTGGGGAAATATTATGATTTAAAATTCTGTGAAGTGTTTTATGAGTCTGTTCCCCTTTGACACAGTGGAGGAGTGGTGGTCTGCAGCAATTGTTGTTGTAGTAGGAGAAAGAAGAAAGAGAAACAACAAGGTGGTGTGGTGTGGTGGTAGGCATCATTGTATGAGGAAGAAGATGTAGTGAGGTGGTGGCCATGGCCCTTTTTGGTGGGTGGCGGTCATAGGCAATGGAGGAAGAGTTGTGTTGGGTGGCTAACAACAGAGGTGGTGGTTTGAGAGATGACTTGCTAGAACATGAGTGAGGGAAGAGGAAAGCAAGGAAGGAGATGCTGGAGAGCAGGAGGGATGAGGGAAAAAAAAATTCAGCATTCACAAAATGACATAATTTTATATTTCTTTTAATCTTATTTGTTATTTTCTTTTAAAAAATAATTAATGGCTAGTTTAACTCACTTAGCCCTCTCATGTTTCTTTTTCAATTGAGAAGATACGTTTCCATTTCTTGAGCATAATAATTTCCTTCTGATGCCATCATGCTTTGCTGTGGATAACCAGAGAAGAGCACTGTGCAGTGAGTTGTAGTTCATTCCTTTATCTTCCTCTGTTAACTACAATTCTTTTTTCCGACTTCAAAGCCAACTATGATTTTACAGATAGCCATTCTTTTTCGCACCAATTTCAGAAAACAATGATTGGTACCACGCTTTCTTTGGAATAATTAGTATTATTCTATTCTTGTAGGGAGAAAAGAATCTGCCATGGAACCAACTTGCGCTGCTCATGCCATGGAATGGAGCATTCAACTCGAAATGGCCCTCCGTTCCACTAAACCAGGTTAATTCTCTTATTTCTTTTTATTCTTGCTTATTTTTTGTCATTATGTTATTTAGTAGTTAAAAGATCTGAAAGGAATTTTGTTCCCCAAAAGTTTATCAAAACTAATCATACACAAAGGCTTTGTTTGGATATTTAATGCTATCACAAGGTTTTGAACTGTGGTCCAAAACCACAATTCTGCAACTTCAAGGCTTTTGGGGTTTCCAAAATCACATTGCAGCCACATTGCGGTCTCATTTGACTGCAATTTCAAGATTTTTGAATTCTCTGCAGCCATGACCATAACTATAATTAAAAAGCAAAGCAAAATGAAGTTAAACAAAACATAATGAAATAGAATATAATTCCATTTTTTGGATACTTTCTGATGGAATGAAATAAAACTTCCATTCTGTTGTTTAAAGTCTAAATGATATGGTAAGAATTAGTAAGAATTATATTTTTCATATCTTACCCTTATCACTAGTAAATAGAAGTTAATGATAACAAGTTTTTTTTTTTTTTTTTTTTTCATGTAAGCAAAATAGTGGCTTCTTGCACGCTATAGTGACGATCCCCTGCTATAGGCTTCAAAAACCCATCTTTACCCCTGGAATGATGGTGTTCAGTTTTTTTTTTTTGGTAAAATTGTGATTTCTCCCGCATTTTATAATGCATTTTTTGCTTCAAAAATATGATAGGATTTGAAACCCTTCTTCCTTGACCATTCACGCAAAAAGTTACCTCTGTTTTAACATCTGTTTCTTCACAATTTACAGGATTATTTTACCTGTGTTCCATTCTTTCTTCGTCCTTTAGACTTTGTAGTTCACTTTCTTCTAATTTTTATATAATCTGTTGTGTTCATTTTCCATTAATTTCTTCACCATCTTTTATTTTTTGAATTCATTACTATGTTCTGATTGCTACTAGATTGATGGTGATTGCGTGTGTGAACATTCTTATTCTTTATCAATTATCATGAATTTCTTTAATTTTGGGTATTTTTTTGACTCTTTATATGTATAGTATACATTATTTTGTTTGTGTTACAGTATTTGAAAAATTGGCCATCCCACTTCCTACTTTCTCATTAATAACTTTTTTAAAGCTGGTCACTATGCACTACTATCCATGATTGATAACTATGATTTCAGTTCATTTCATTGAGTACCATGAATTCATATGAAACCTTAAAGTTAAAACCATTCTATTTTTTTTTTTTCATTTATTTGGTTACTGAAATTTATTATTTGTTAGGTGTTCCTGTCAAAGCCATATTGGAAATGGAGCCTCGCCTTCAGCAATGGAGTAGAGAGCCTGAATCTGTCATTGCTTCCAATGCCATGTTTGGTCTTGTTCCAGGTGAAGATAGGCTATTTGCCAATGCCATTCTCTTGCGCCTTGCTGGTGCCTTTAGGGAAGGTGACATAAAGACCAGGCTTTCTGTTGTCAGGGTTTTCTTATCTGAACAAAAGCACTATGATAACAAGAAGAAAAAGAGGTGTAAAGGGTTGCTGTCAGAGGCCAGAGTAGCTAACCAATTGGAGTTGTTGAAGCAAGTGAAATCTGTTTTTGATAGTGGGGATTTGAAGTCAAGGGCACTGGCTTTGGTTCTGTTTGGTTGTTGGGCAGATTTTTCTAAAGACAATGCTCAGATACGATACTTGATATTTTCCAGCCTTGTTTCTCCTCATGATTGTGAGGTAAACTAAGTGTTTTAGTGTATCAGTTGTTTTGGATCTCTAATTTTTTACACTTAATAACATTGATTGTTTAAATATGTTTGCTTCAATATTCTACCTTAGAACCTTGTCATGTTTTCTTGTAATGTTTCAAAAAATTTGTGCGCACATTTCAAGTGAGAAACTGCAATCTTAATTTCATTTGCATGACTGTACATGGATGGATGACACTTGACAGTGACTGCCTGATTGGATGTTGTATTGTCCTTTGCATTTTATAAAATGTGAAGGGCAATTGCCTTGTAGCGCACTCCTAATTTTTTTGCTTCTGAATTTTAACTTGTATAGCCAACCCCTCAATGCATCTGAAATATTGGATTGGGTTTTTCCAGGTTAGAGCATCTTTGTTTGCTACTGGATGCTTTTGTGAGATGTCAGATGATTTTGCGTCTATTGCACTGGAGATGCTGTTTAATATAATGAATTCATCTTCAGCATCTTTGCTTGTAAAGTTGACTGCAGCCCGAGTTCTCGCGAAATGCAAGTCCTCCTATTCAATTGCACATAAAGCGTACAAGGTCTTTGATCATCTTATATTCTGACATCTAATCCACATTTTCTTTTGAAAAAAGTGTCCTCTTGTTAAATTATGTGTTGTGTGGCTTCCTGGCTTATTGTAACTATGTTTGTTTTTGTTTCCATGTACTTCAAATGGCTTTGATTGTTTCTGGTTCTGTGTATATCTCTGTTTGTCTTCCTTGCTTGTTCCTAAAATCAATCATATACAAGGTGGAAACAGAGCATGGTTAGACAGGAATGGAGAAGAAAAGACCTGGAACTTTTTTTTCCTGTTGAAGTGGAGTTTTGATTTTTGGAAATTGGCTTGTCCACTTTATTATAAATACTTCTAGACATTGCACCTCAACCAGGTGTAATAATTTAACCAAGTGTCCAAGACTACTACATGGTGGTTTATGGAACAGTATTTTGGTGTGTTTCCTTAATGTCATTGAACAATTAGGTTGACTTTGCTGATGAATTTAAAATTTTGGTGCCAAATGGATCCAGCACTGTCATGTGTCTTAGGGTCAGTATCCAAATTTTAGTGTTGTAAAATACCATAGCAACAAATTTCAATTTTAATCAACTTTCAGAAATTTTTTAATTTTTCTATTGTGTTTGTTTCTCTCTTGGAACAATGACAGAATTGGTTTTCTGATGTTATGATTGATTTAATGCAGATGGGTATGGAGTTAGTATTCAATTCCTTGGATGAAGATGTTTTGGTAGCTATGCTATTCTCACTCTCAAAACTGGCTTCCATTTTAATGCTTTTTAACTCCAATCAGGTATGTACCTTTTTTTATCATACTATATGGTTTTGAGCATCCAAGTTGAACACACAGAATACGAGCCCTACTTATTACTTCATCCTAGCTTTTATTTCTCTGTTTGAAAGATTTTGTATATACATTTGGCAAGGCTTCCTTCAATTGGCAGAGTTGCTCTTTTGAAGTTGTCAATAATATGAAGTTTGTGAAATTCACCGTTAGATTTTATACTTTGAAAAGGCTGGTAAACTCGTTAAAACTGTTGATTTAATGAAGCACCATACAGCTAGCTTTGGCATGCATAAATGGTGTTTTCCAATTCAAATATTTACTATGGTGCTTTCTTTGTGTAATTTATTTTAAAACATTTAAATTCAGGTGGACTTTCTTCTTTCATTTCTCAATCAAGAAAGAACTGCACATGTACGAGAAACAGGGATAAAATGCTTGCATTTTTTGTTTGAAAAAGATCCGTGTCTGCACCCAGTTAATTCAGGTCTAATCCATGGGTTATTCTCCATAATGGAGGAACCTGGAATTTCGATGGCCATGCAATATAAAGCTCTAAAGGTCTTGCACAAGGTTTAACTTTAGTACCTAGCAAGACAAAACTCCCATTTTTATTATGTTATGATCTATGAACTTGTTTGACATGCATTAAATCATTTAATGATTGGCAGGTCCTGCTTTCAATTCCACCTTCTTTACTTCACGTGGAATTTTGTGAATTTGTCAAGCTTCTAAATGTTGCTGAGAACACAAGACAATATCCAGTCTCAAGGAATAGCTGTTTGGCAATTCGTATTCTGGCAGATTTGTGTTGTAGGACGGTGGACAGAACAAATAATGTCAATGGTGTTTTTTGTTGTTCTTCTCTGCCATCTCGTGTTATCTCCTTAATCAAAGATCATATCAAACTTTTGGTGATGCCATTGTTGAAAGCTCGCCAAAATGATTTGACAATTTGTCAGGATCTCCAGGGTCTGCTAAAGATTCTTCTAATTATCGTTGAAACTCATCCTTATCTAGGTTCCTTGGCACTTGATAACATAAAATCAGTGGTTGAATATCTTGTGACTGTTGCTTCTACTGATCATGCAGTACCATCAGCTCATCTAGCTGTAGATTTTAAAGTTGAAAAAAACAATTTCTTTATTTTAAAACTTATTCGCAAAATATACAGATTTCTGGTGGCATGCCTTGAAAATCTTTATAAAGCCAGTGCCATCAATGCTGAAGTGTTGAGTAGAGTGAAGATTTTGGCTGACCTTGTGTGCCAGTGTAGTTTAATTGATTGCTATACGTACACAATGTACCATCTGCTATTGCACAATCAACCTGTCTGGGATGGCTTGGATCATGAGAATGATGAAACACATGATTATCTTTGTATATATCCTGATAGTTGTCTTACTAAATGCACAGAGTTTGTTAAGAAAGTCCTGACTGAAACAGATGGTTGGACTGCTTACAAGGTTGGTGCACATGCAGCGTGTCAAGGTGAATGGTTGTTAGCTACAACTATATTCAGGACATTAATAGAGAAAGTGAAGTCTGATTCATGCTGTAGCTGGTTAAAATCATTATTCCATTATGCTCATTCTGAAGGAAAAATCCAGCTTCTTAGTCTACCAAAACAGGGAACCACCTCAATGGAGTTGTTGGAGACTGTCAAATTTCCTTTAAATCCTTTTGATTACATGGATAAGACATGTCCAAATCTTGCTGGGCATATCAATGATAGCCATTACTATGATGAGCTTACACAATCTCATGTGGCACTTTGCTCTTCCTTGAAAATTTTAGAAGCATCTGTAAAAGGTTCTCAAGCATTTTGTTTCCAGAGGTGGTTTTTATCATTAAGATCTAGAGTTTTGGAAAATTTAGTAGGTCTGTTTAATGCTTTGAGAGAAGTTTCATTGAACTTAGATGGGAATTTCAATCAAGTAGAGTTTGAGAGCAGTGATATGCTTCAAGGCCTGAAATCTTGTAAAGTTATTTCTCAAATTTCTTTTCAATTGTGTAGGCTAGCTGAAGAATTTGATCTATTTGGAAGATCTGTCATTGGGATGGACAGTGAAAGTTCTGCATTCCTTGCTTCTCATGGCTTGAGTTGTTCAGTATTAGCATTTGCTGCTGCTTTTGGAGTTTCTAACATAGAGCAGTATTCTCATGGAATTTTTGTTGGTGACAAAACCTCCTGTAATTTACAGGCCTTGACAATACAACATTTAATGAGACAATTATGGTGTGTAGATCATGAAATCAGAGCAAGTCTCTCTTTGCTGTTGGATTACTTTGACCAGAACAAGAACAGTTTACCCCTGCTGCATATGTATCAAACTTGGAACATTGGTTATAAAGATAGAGCGGTGCTTGATATTTGTAGTTATGCTGTTTCTTGTGCTGTCCGTTTGCAAAATGAGAGAACTGCATCTCAATTTACCAAGAATGCTTTATTACTAACTTTCAATACTTTGATAAAATGGATGCACATTCATTTTCGGATTCCCAGGTTTTTCTTCGAAATAAGGTATGTGTAATACTTGTACAACAGTATTAGTATATGCTCTTTGATGAAAATTAAAATTTTTGAGAATATCAAGAGTACAGCTACGTGTTTTTTATTTTTTATTATAATGATGCTGGCTAGTTCCGTTATTTTCTCCTCCAATATCATTACTGTTTTGGATAAATTATTTTATATAAAAAAACTTTGGTCCTTTCTATGTCTTCTTTTTCAAGGAAGAATGAATTATATAATTACAGAATATTGCTGAGATAGGAGTTGACGAGTTTGCTTTGGCAACATTGTATTTAAGTCTCTCACGATTTGATTTCCCAATCATGATCTTTAGTTTGCTTTTGTTGTTTGTTGAATAGATGTTCTCTTTGTATTTGTAGTTCTACTTTGCGTTTTAGTGTTCTCTGATTTTATTATGGGGCCTTGTTTGCAAATCTAGAGCTAGTGTGGACTGTGTTTCTGTTCTTATTTTATCAAAGCCATGACTGAGTTGGCAATTTGGTGTATGTTTAGTGTTTTTCTAACACTTTAAGCATGATGTGCGTGGCTTCTTATTATTACTTAACAAACTGCTGATGTTTTATTTGCTTTATTTATGTAGGCAGTTTGTTGGGTCTGAGCTCTATGTCCACAATGAGGACTCAACAGATGGGGTTGCTATATCTGTTTTGCCAGGCTTCCACCTAACATTGAACATTTGTCTTCAATTGAAAAATGTGTCATTAAACCTCCATGCTAAGGCAGCCAAGTTGTACTGCATCCTTCATTGCAGTACTACCTCCCTCGTCTCAGATGGAGAAACTGTGGGGCACTCGTGTTCTGGATATGAAGCTTGGAAAGATGATGAAATTGTTGAATTGAACAAGAAGTTGTTTTACCTTGTGTTAGATAATATGGCAGACAAGAGAACAAGGGGCTTGCGTAATAGGGGCAATGTTAATAGGGTTGTTGAGGCATTTTTGGATTTTGAACCTAATGAGAAAGGACAGGGGTTTTCACTATGCACACTCGATGTTTCTGACTTTCCTGTGGGTTCTTATAGAATCAAATGGCATAGCTGTTTGGTTGATAGTCATGATTCCTATTGGAGCCTCCTTCCTTTGAACTTGGGACCTGTATTTGTTATAAAAACTCTGGTTGGCTAATCTGCAATGAAAGCATAGCAATTAACTTAAAGATGCATTACATTTACAAGCACAATAACAATTTCGTTTGGTTTTTATTAGATTGATCTGTTAGATGATTGGATCATTCAAATTTAGTTATTGTCACTGAACATGTTCTTCCAAATTTTATCATGGATGGTAACCATTGGCAATGCACATATGTTTGGTGGTGAAATTCATGTAATTCATCATCACGTGTTATAACTAACGCCAATCTAAGCTAAACCTAACTCACACTGAATGCTAGAAATATTTGATGGACCTATTCAAAAGGTCACCTAGGGTTGGTGTCAAATATAAGCAAACGAGGTTTTTGTGTCTAAATCTTCCTTCAAGTAGACGCAGGAAACTGAAGTAGTCAAATTAATTGCATCATTAAGGCAAGGCAGGCACAATCATAAAAACTTGGCTACTTATATCAGCTTTCTTTCCCAAATTGATTGCTTTATGTATTCCGTCACCGCCATCATAATTTGGCTCAATTCAGTTGCACTTTTAAATGATGAAAGAAGTTCTAATTGTGATAATAATGGTGGGTGGCGAAGCATGTATCATATGGGATGCAGACTTGGGTTGTGCCATATTTTGAATTTTCATACATAACAGATAGCACCTCCAAGAAACTCTGTCCTGCATGACAGCGTTAAGAAAAAAGCGTGTTTCATTATTTTTGGTTAATTCAAAATTATATATAATCAACAATTAATATTTTAAGAAATGTTTTTCAAAATTTAAATTATGGAAGAAAAAATGGATTGGAAAAAAAAGAGTGAAAATCAATAGTTCAAGTTTTGGTGGGTCTATGATTCTGACATTCAAATTGAACTCAGACTTAGACACTGGCTGTGGGGTGGTCCAGCAGTACCATTGTGAGAATAATAATAATAAAACTCGTATGATTTTATTTTGCAATACATGATTAAATTATATAATATGCAAAAATCTATACTAGATCAAAACTAAATCCTTAAACTTGTGATTTTAATACACCTTAAAATCATCTTTTTATCAATTTTTGGAGATATTTCTTTTACAAATTTATATTTTCAAAAATAAATTCCAGACATGCAGAAATTTTAGTAGTAATTCTACTTTATTATTTGAAGAATTCTTTTAATTTTATTTTAAAATATTTTTTCTTAAATAAAAACATAAATTTTCAACATCAATTGCTTTGACATCATTTATTTCAAAATAAACTATACCAAGATATAACGCAAATGGAGCCTTAATATGGATCCAACATGACTTGATATATCTTGGCATCTCCAAGATATATCATCATGTTATAAAAGACCAACTTCACCACCAAATAAATGTCATTTTCCTTGATCAAACAGTCAAACCCATTGTCCAGAAATAATAGTGGACCCTACTCAATAATTCCATCACAGAATTCAAGATCATTAAAAGTTCCTATTTGCTTCCTACACCAAAAACCTTTTTAAAGTCACTAAATTTGTTAACTGCTTACTTTTTTTTGTCAGGTTAGGGAAAAGTGAAAATTTTACAGGAAAAGTGAAAAGAACAATCTTCAAACTATCACTAACGTCATTGTCAAAATGAAAATGTCACCAAATATTTTCATATCAAGTCTTAGTTAACCCCTTCAAACTTCCCTCTCCTTTCCCTTATTTATATCCTCTCACAACCTAAGCCCTTTTCAAATTTCTTCTACCTAACCTGATTTGCTAAAAAGAAGTCACCAATGGAAACCACAATGTATACAATATCCCCTATGTGGTTCATACTTCTAGGAATAACTTGTTTCTTTGTAACTCATGCTTATGGTGAGACCATGCCTCTAAGGACTCTTTTAGGTGGCATTCATCAAGAATCAATACTTGGACTAAAGGCATTCAAGTTCAAAGCCCCTATTACTAGGAGTAATTCCATTGCATCAACACCAACTTCCTTCTCACCCTCTCCTAGTCCTTCTCTATCATCACAGGTAATTCAATCATACATAGTACATAGAAGATAACCTTTAATTTCCTTTCTGAATTGTTCTCTTGAAGAAACCCCTTAATGCAAGCCACTCATGGCACTTGTCCATTCATTTTCTAAGGAAAAATAGTGAATGTCTAATAGTTTTCTGTTAATGCAGAATCTCAAGAAACCACACGTGTATCATGTGACATCTTATGGTGCAGATCCAACAGGTAATTCAGACAGCACTGAAGCTCTTCTTGCAGCCATGGCAGATGCAGTCAAAGGTCCAAGTGAAGGGTTCTTAATGAAAGACATTAGAGACCTTGGAGGTGCCCAGATTGATCTTGAGGGTGGAAAGTACTTGATCAGCCAACCATTGCAGTTACCAGTGACGGGGGTTGGAAACCTTATGGTACAAAAAATATAATCTCTTAATAAATTATTAGCACATCAATCTAGAACATGAAAAAAAAAAAAAAGTACCTTTAGGAAGTTTGTAATGTATTCCTGGTCTGTGACACGTGGTTGTGTTGTATGAGATTCAGACAAGGTATTTTCTGAGTTTAGTATCGTTTGGTCAAACTTGAACAAAAATCTTTTCCAACCTTTTCTCTTTTTCTGCTATTGTTTTTCGTCTTTATTTTCTCAATTAAAGACTTTTCAATAATCTTAGAACCCAAAGTTGCAGCAAATCAAGGCAAAAATGAAGGACCCGTTTGGTTTTCAGAATTTTTTTTTCTCATTTTATGATTTTATTTTTAATTACAAAAATATCCCCTAATTTTTATTCTGTTTTAAATATTTTTACCGAAAAATAGTGAGAACTATAAAAAGTTGTTTAAATTATTTTCTGTACAAATTTTTTAAAACAAGAAATAAAATAAAATAAAATAAAAATAAAAATAGCATTTTCATAACTAAAAGTAAAAGCAGAAAATATTTTCTGAAACTAAATAGTCATAAAGATTTTCTTTTTCTTCTGTTTTTTCTCATTTATTCTATGTTGAGTTGGTGATACAAAAGACCTTGAATTTGACTGCTGAGTTTGATTTTACTTGTAATTCTATGTTAACAGATACATGGGGGAACTATAAGAGCCTCAGATGATTTTCCATCAGATGGACACCTCATTGATTTGTCAACATCAGGAGAAGGCAAATCCTACAATTATGAGTTCATAACTCTCGAGGACCTCTTGCTAGACTCCAACTTTAGGGGAGGAGGCATTGTAGTAAAAAACTCACTTAGAATTACCATAGACAATTGTTACATCACACATTTCACCACCACTGGAATTCTAGTCCAAAGTGGCCATGAAACCTACATTCGAAACTCCTTCCTTGGCCAGCACATCACTGCTGGTGGTGACAAAGATGAAAGGAACTTCTCAGGCACTGGAATAAGCCTTCAGGGAAATGACAATTCAGTCACAGATGTTGTAATTTTCTCTGCTGCTATAGGAATAATGGTTAGTGGCCAAGCCAACACTATTTCTGGTGCACATTGCTACAATAAGGCCTCTGGCTTTGGAGGCACTGGAATTTATTTGAAACTACCTAGTTTGACACAAACTAGGATTGTGAATTCTTACATGGATTACACCAATATTGTTTCTGAAGACCCTGTTCAACTCCATATCTCTAGCAGTTTCTTCCTTGGTGATGCCAATATTGTATTAAAATCAATCAAAGGGGTTGTAAATGGTCTCAATATTGTCGACAACATGTTCTCTGGGTCAAATCATGGGGTTGATATAGTCAAGTTGGACCAATCAAATAGTCCTTTTAGTCAAATTGATCAAGTTTTTGTTGCTAGAAATGTTGTGAAGGGTATGAACTTAAGGGCCACAACTGCAAAGATATCTATGCATGGGAATGGAACTTTATGGACTATCGATTTTAACAAATTTCTGCTTTTCCCTAACCTTATTAAACATGTCCAGTACTCTTTAAGTGCCAATGGTAACACCTTCCCAAACCATGCTCTCAGAAATGTGTCCGAGAATCGTGTTGTGATTGAAACAGATGAGGCTGTAACTGCAAATGTTTTTGTCACAGTGGATCAAGGCATTGCAAGTTGAAGACAACTAGAATGTGGTGGCCAAAAAATTGGGTCAAGTTCTGTCTGAAGAGGGAAATGTGCATAGCCTGGTTGCCAAATCATTCTTTGGATAACTTCAAATGAATAAATGTAATTTTACTGTTTGATTTACAGCTGACACTTATTCAATAAACTTATTGTAAACGGCAATTTATGTTATAAATTTAATTACAAAATTTGTTGAGATAAATTGAAAAATAACTTATTCTAATAAGGTATAATTAAAAAGCACATTGAAATAAATAGTAAAAAACTTGTGAAAATTATAAGCTATTTTTAATAAGTTGTTTATAAGCTCTTTAGAAACTTTTAAACTGTATGTTTCAAATTCTTAAATACATTAACTGTAATGGAAAGAAAATTTGATTGGAAATAATTTTCATGTAAAAGTTTGTTATTAAAAAATTGACTGAATCGGTAAAAAAAAGTGTATGTTGATCCAATTAGTATTTGGTTTACAATTAATTATTAATATCCATAAAATGAATTTACAGTTATTTGTTGCTTTGGTTAATTATCTTTAAATAATAAAATATGTTAGTACCTTTTTGTTAATGGTGATAAAAATTATTACTTATATATTCTACGAATAATTCCTGATAAGATTGCATGAGTTCCCTTAAGCTGCAGTGAGAACCTGAGGCATCTAAAGTTCTGTCATTAAAGATTGCAACATTTTTTTTTATCTTGTGGGTTATGGAGTTGAACATTAGAACAGAACCTGGATAAAGAAAGATTGTATGTACATTTGTGTATTTGTGGTCAAAATAAAATATTGTACCCCTTCCTTTTAAACACGCATGGTTATTTTTTAAAAAATTAATTTTTTTCTTCTAAAATAAAATTAAAAAAATGCTATATAAAGAAAGATAATTCCAAGGGACCAATTGTTTCTAGAAGTAGCTCAATTGAATGATGTGTTATTGTTTAGAAGTTGTTAACACTAGCAGTACTTAAAAAATGTTATCTTATATTGTTGAGATAAAACTAATTTTTAATTAATATATAACCTCAACATCATCAAAAGAACTACTATACATAAATTTTGGGGGAAAAAATCTAACAAGGAACGGCTTTAATTTTGACTAAGAATTGTAGTTGAACAGGCTAATTGATTATGTAGAACTTGAAGTGTGAATCCTCAAGTTTTTAAAATTTTATGGAACCATATTGCTGGTAAACAAAATCTACTAGAAACAGCCAAGTATAACTAATCTTTGCTATTAATGGGTCATTGGGGTTGGCTACTTACTTTGTTACACATTATTGTATTCTACCAGTCAACATCAGTGAAGCTAATCAATTTGAAAACTTGCTATTCCATAGAATTTTCAAATCCAAATTTCACCATTATTTTCTATGTTCTTCCCAAACCAAATGGAGGAAATCGATCGATCTTTGAAAACTAAACTAATTATTTTCTATTGGAATCATGTAAACTTTTTGGATGGTATGAAAATAGGAGGGAGGAAGAGAAATAGAGTGGAAGATGAGATAAATCTTCCATTGTTTAGATGATCCATGAAAAAGGGAGAAAGAAAAGTTTCCCCCAATAGTAAGGGAAATGAATAGTGATGGGAAGGAGATGGCACCATACAGGGGCTTTTTTTATTATTAATTTAGGTTTGTTTTCTTCTTTTTTTATAAAATTAAAATAATATCAAAATAATAAAATAAAAACATATTTTATCAAGAAAAAAATTAACTCAAATTTTTATTTTTTTACGAATACCTTTAATACTTTTCAATTATTTTTTTTTTGTACTCTTTTACTCATTCAAATAAGTAGAATTTTTTTATTATTTCTTTTTTTTCCTATTTTAACTCATTAAATATCAAATATCCTTTTAGTAATTGCAAATAATATCTAAATCATAAACTAGTAGCTTTTCCTTACATATTATTAAATAAAATAAAATAAAGTATATTTATTATTATTTTTAAATTAATAAATTTGAAAAGAAAATATTTTAATTGTTATTAATAATAAATTTTTATTATAATAAATAAGAAAAGAAGTATTTAACCACCTAAAATTTCATCCTCATTGTAAATAGATGCTTTAAACTTAATTTTATATTGGTCATTAAACTTTATTTTTCAATAGACACCTCAAACTTTAATTTTGATTTAATTAATTTTGAAACTTCACTAGTCTTACAAAGAGTCATCCTAAACTTCATTTATATTCCAAATGATCTTCAAAACTTATTCATTTTATAAATAAAAAATTTCATAAATTAAGTTGAAATTAAATTATTAATTAAATAAAAAAATCATTTATTTAAATTTTTGTGTTATAATTATTTTTTAAAATGCAAAATATAATAAAAATTATAAATTAAAGAAAAATACAAATAAAAAAAATAAAAAAATCAATATAAATATACATTATATAATCAAGGATTCTTCTTGTATTGTTTTTTTTTCAAAATTACTATTATTATAATAATATATATACTCTATTTTTTTTCTTGAATTTAATTTTTTTTTATTATGTTTTGATGTTTAGAAGAATGAAGTAAAATAAAAAACGAATAACTAAGATTTAAAGTACATAGATGGTTATTGTTTTTTATGTTATTTAACTGTAATTAATTTATAAAAGGAGCTATTTGCAAACACTGTAAAGTTTAAGGATTAAGTAAAATTGAAATAAAATTCAAATTTAGAGTGTTTATTTTCAAATTTAATAAAGTTTAAAGATTAATTTAACTTGATTAAAATTTAAGGTGTCTAAATAAAAACATTTAAGGATAAATTAGGATGAAATTAAAGTTTAAGGTTTGTGTTTACAACGAGGGTAAAGTTTAGAGTGGTTAAATACTTCTCTTTTTTTTTACCTCTTAAGTAATACTAATTTAAAGAGAGATATTTTTAAAAAATTAAAAATAAAATATAAAATTTAAATTAAGATTAATTAAAAGATAAATACTCTATAAGAAAAAGTCAGGTGATATAATGAGAAAGAAAACTAACACTTCAAAATATTTGTTGTTTAAGATAATTTCTAAAAATACTATTATTTAATAATCTAAAGTCACAAATTATATAGAAAAATAAATTGATTAAAATAATAATAATAATATTTTTTTTCAGATTTGCATATACCTTCTATTTTAGTAAGTGTGTACCATAGGTAAGTATTCAAATTACAAGAGTTTTTTTGTTTAAGCCTTATCCTCTTTCTGGAGGGCAACTTATAAAAATCGAGTCCCTACCTTCACTTAATAATTGAATTGTAGCTTTCCCATTAACTCAACAACAGGAAATACACTAATGATGACATACGAGAGATAAGTTCCACACACAGCAAGAAAGAGAATTCATAACTTATTTCATTTTCGTTGTTTTTTTTCTTTTAAAAGAAATGAATAAGAATTTTGGAGTGAGAAGCTTTTTCAACCATACAAATCTTACCATATATGTACGAACTCAATGCATATTTTTCTTTAAAATAGTTAAATTTAATAATCTTAATTTACAAAAATTTTAAAATAAATATAAAAATGTTATTAGTGTACCATAAAAAACATCATTTTTGCACTAGTGAAAGACTTATAGGTGTGAGGAAACAATTGGCAAGAGTATATGAAGATCTCAAAAAGAGGTAACGAAATGAAAGAGAGACTCTCCTTACCATTCCTAATCATACTGATCCATCTTCATCAAAGTAGGGCAACATCATGCAACGTAGTCAACCACAACTATAAAGCTTGTGGTGGTGGTGGTGGTGGCGGCGGCGGCAGTGGCAGCACCACCACAAACAACTGCCATGTCAGCAACAACTTGGAATCAGAGAATTCCCATGTAGCCACCATGCTCTACGCTGTGAGTGCAGGAGCCGGCAATAGATACGGTTCTGTTATAAGTTGTCCAGGCGATGGAAGTTATCGTAGCTGTTTGCCAAGCAAAAATGGAGGTGGCCCTAGACAACGTTGTGATTATTACACTAGGTCTTGTTAGCTACCAATCTGTCATAGTTTATCCCTACTTGTTTCATGTGTTTTTCTAAGTTATCTTGTCATAGGTTGTGGCATAAGAATTAAGATATGTATTCAGTTATCTTGTTTTTATTAAAACAAGTACTAATTTTTTTATTATACTAAGTTTAGATTTTTTTTTATGCAATAAATAAGTAGAGAGAATAAAGAAAAAAGGTTTTGAGATAATAATTATCTTAAAGATAAAATTAGAAGAAAAAAAAAGTTAATTTTATCTTAAAATTATAAAGTGACTTATTTTTAAAAACTAAATTTAACTAAAAATTATTTTTCGGAAACACATGCAGAGTACATTTATCAAAGTTATAATAATGTCAAATTTATATATAATATAATATAATTTCATCTCCATACGTGATCAATATATTACCAATTTCTTAACCACAATACACAATCCAACGTTCCAAGAGAAAATCTAAAATCTATTGTGTCTTGGTTAAAATATCTTATGTGTCTTTCGTCCCTTCTATACAATTTTTATTAAATTAATTATTCAATATAAAATAAAAAGTTATATAATAACAAGAACATGAAATGAAAAAAAAATAAAATTAATAAAATTTATTAAATATATTATAAATATATTTGAATAATTTATATAATGAGATCATGAAGAAAATAAAGTAGTATAATAATTTCATAAACATTTACAAGTATACATTGTTTAGTAATTTCAAAAATAAAATTAAGTATACATTTATAAATTTATTTTAAATTAAATTAAATTTTTAGGTTTAAAATATGATTTAGTCTAAAACCTTTTTTATTTTAAAAATATTTGTTTGATTGATTTTTTCGACTTTTTGATACATTAAATTGAACCAGTTTTAAAAAGTGAAAAATTATTATTATTTCTTTAAAATGGAAAGAAAAGGAGAAGGAAATGAAAAATGATAATTGATATCATGTAAGTTAAGGAATATTAAGTAAAACAAGTAATGTTCCTGTATACTGCAAGGATATCATTAAATTGAATTAAAAATATATGATATGACTCTTTTTAAATTTAATGAATTTTACAAATTAAAAAATAAACATGATAATTATTAATCATAAATATTTTTGTTATAATGATAAATTTTAAATAGATTATGAAAATTTCAAATTATTATAAAATTAAAATAAATACATGATATGAAAAAAAAAACCAATACTTTTATTAAATAATATTCCTAAAAGCATTATTCAAATGTTAATACTTAATTTATACATTATATATATTCAACTAAACAAACTAGAATTTGATGTTACATGTTAATATAATATAATAATTTTTAAGGTATATTGTAAACAAATTGAAGAAGGTAAAATATACTTTTACATGTAAAATAATTATTATCATTAATTTTATATTAAATATGTATAATAAATAGTAAAAATTAGTAATTTATTTTAAAAATATAAAGTATATTATCAATTTAAAAAAATATGTAAAATATTATTACCATTAATTTTCTGTTAAATATGTATAATAGGTAATAAAAATTAATTAATTATTTAAAAAATATAAATTATATCATTAATTAAAAAAATATAGAAGATCATCTCAAGTTTATAATTATTATATTATGATAGGCACTTTTTAATATGAATTTATTTATTTATTTTGATCTTGCCAGTTTCTTGGACCTTATTAGTTGGAGTTCTACAGTTTTATTGTTGGTAAAGAGTTGGAGTTTAACAGTAAAATCAATAAATCAATTTGGGATTATTTAGTTGGTACACTGTTATGGACATGTCTGTTTGAATGGCCCAAATAGGTCCACTGAATATAAATTGGTTTAATTATTATATTACAAGTTGGTCCATTTATTAAGAACATCCATTTAGAGTGACACTTAACATATCATTTACGAATTTAAAAGTGCAATTAGCAAAAATCAAACTCAATGCCATTTGTCGACAATGATGAATGATGTGTCGGTCAAAGAAAAATAACACAATTAGATGGCCTCCAACACACGTTGGGAAGAGCTAATTATTATTAACATTTTTTTAATATAATAAAACTTTTGGGTCTCTAATGCTAAAAGCATCTTTCATTTAATGTTTAATTATGTTATTACTAGTGCAACTACACTTAATTAAATTCATGAGTAATGTTTAGCTACGTTGACTAACAAGACATAAAATTTGACATGTGAAAATATTCAACTTAACCATATCATAGATTAACCATGAATAGGGACAGAAATATTTATAAAAATAAAAATTAAATATATTTTGAGTGGATATAATTATATTTAATTTAAAAAAGGAGAATTTAAAAGGATATAATTATTTATTAATTGTATCAACTTTGTTGATTAGAAGTGAAAACTTGAAAGATGAGTAAGATGGAGATGAAAAGAGGAAGGAGGTGCCTGAAAATGCCAAGTTGATTTTATTCACAAAAAGCTGACCTTATCCTCCTTTTTGAGAGGAATGCACAATCTGAGTCCCTACATGCCTCACTCAATTGAAAGGTAGCCATCCAATTAACTCAAGAACAGCCCATAAACAATATACAGAAAATTCCTAACTTTTTTCATTTCATTATTCTTTTCTTTCAAATTTGTTGAAAAGCCTTTTCTGCTAGACCATGTGAACATACACGCCAACTCAATAACAAATTAAAAAAATAATAGGGAGTAAGGATAAAAAAGTTATCTTTATTCACATGAGAAAAAAAATAAGACCATAAAAATTAACATCCCAAAAACAATAAAACTTAAATAAAAACTCAATGCTAAAGTAATATTAAAGGCACTATTTAATATAATAATAATAATAATAATAATAATAATACATTATTTTAATGATTTTTAATTTATTTTAACACGACTTTTTAAATAAAAAATATTACTTAATAATTTTTAATGGTACCTTATCTTCAAGATATTTTGAAATAAGGTGGAGGCAGAGCCCCCACATTTCAAAATGTAGGCATATCCTTGTACTAATCAATGCACTCTTATCTCGTGAAAAAATTACTAAAAAAATGTCTCTAAAATACACATATTGGTCTATTCAGCTTTAATTTAATTTCATGCATATTATTATTTTAGATTTAATTCTTTAAAATTGTAAAAAGGATAAAATAAAAAAATATGTTCTTCACTTTTGATTTAAATATGTAAACTATCTCATAAACTTAACCTAGTATAAATTAATGATAATAAATTTTTATTTTATTTATATTTTTACTTTTCAATACATTTTCCTTTTGACCACCTAGACTTAATTGTCATAAAATTATTATAATGTAATTAGTAATTTCAAGTTTAAATTATGAATATGCAGTTAAGTTAAATGTATTAACATATTTTTAACCATTTATATCGATCTTATTCTATTTAAATAGAATTGTCTCTACTTATATATTGAGTGAAAATGTTTTATATATATAAAAGAATAGCATACCTCAATGTCCTGTTCTGCTTAGCCTGCAGGTATAGAAGATTCCTTAATAATTTTTTTGTGATCCAACTGTTTCAAAAGACAAAGGTCTTGACTAGTGAACCATACACACCCTTTGTCTGTGAGAAAACAGATCCACAAAAAAGATGAAGAAGGGTCTCTCCCTTGTGTTGCTCATAATTCTGATTCACTTACATCTCAGTAAGGCAACAACATGGAAGATGGTCAACGGAAACTCCAAGGGTTGTGTTGGTGGCACAGAGGATTGCCTCGTTGACATTGACTTGGAATCAGAGTTCTCCTTTGGTTCACATGTGGCAAGAATGCTCTATGATGTGAGTCAATCTACTACTGGCAGAACGGGCAACAGGAACGGGGCTTCTGTTAATTGCCCACAAACTCAAAATTACCGTAGCTGTTTGCCATCACCAAATGGTGGTGGCCCTAGACAACGTTGTGGTGATTACACAAGAACTTGCTAGGAACATGTATTTCATGAATCTTTGTCTTGTTTAAGGTTGTCATGTATAATCTCACGTTGTTTTATCTTCCTTATGTTCTTTTAAGATTAAGATTGTCATAATTTGTGGTTGTATTGTTGTGTATTATCTGTACGGTCAGTTTAATAAATGTTGATAGGAATAATTCCATGTGAAATGGAAAAGTTTCTGAGATGTTTGTGTATGCTTCAGCATGGTTTTAACCTGCATGGATTTCTGGGAATTTTGTTTTCTATAAATAAAAGTATATCATGTTTTGCTTTCAAATCAAATTAAATATGTCATGCTTTTAGGATTTCTTCGTTGATATATGGTCTTGAAAAAAAAAAAAAGTTAAAATTTAAGGGAAGAAGTGAAGAAGAAACTGTACTGACATACATTAGATGGTTACAGAACAATTGAATTTCACACCGGTATCTGAATTCTGAAATCATATCTTCCCCAAAAGACTGTCTCAAGGTATAAATTTTTTGTGAAGAGTAATTTTTAATGTGTTATTGGGCAACTAGACATAAATTTGGGTCTTGAAATTGGAATTAACCAGATGCAGAATCCTTAAACTACAACTATCGCCAGCATTCTCTAATAGCATTTTAATTACTTCTAACTTATAATTTCATGTTTTGATACACAGAAGATTAATACTTTTAAACTTTTAATTAATTTAAAATTTTGCTAAATTAAAATTAGACTTACTGCGTTCCAAATTTAGACAGACAAATGAAATTACCTGTAAATTCAAGACATGGCAATGATTGGACTAGTGGAGGTTTAATTACGTTATTTACTCCAATTGGTGATATTGTGCATAAATTCAAGTTTAGCTGGCAAAGCTATTGCGGACCTTGATTAACTTGTCAGCTTTGTTAAGACCAAATTATGCTCAAACACATATTCGCTAATAAACGACGAAAACGAAGTTAGCTAGGTATTTTGCTTTTCTGAGTGTAAAAATGAAATGTGTAATTTAATTTATTTATTTTGTATGTAAAACTATGTTAAAATATTAATGGGGTAATTAGTTCTTGATTAAAAAAATGTGTGTACTTTGTTACTATTATTAGTATGATTGAGGCTAGCCATCAAATCTTAATACTTCATCACTCATACATATGACCCTTGACAGAAATTTTGCCCGCAGCATTCATCTGTCACAGCACCAAGGTTCAAGGTAACAAATATAGCTCCTTAAAATGTGTAAAGTGAAAAAATGAAGATTTTGATTTGAAGTTAGTTATGTTTACAAAATATTTGAATTCAAATTAAGAGCAAGTATATATTCACTTTTTCACTTTAAAAATCTCTTTATTTTAGAAGAATGACTGATTTCCCAAGAGAACATGCTTTGAGTGACATCAATTGTGCTCCTATTAACCAAATTGAGAGCTTCAATTGAGGGTGTTGAAGGAAAAAGATGGAAAGCCAATGAACAAGAGATGCAAAAGCAAAACTGGAAGGTACTTTGCACCAGTTTTTCGTGTTTACAAGGCTCAACAGAATGTTGTTGTAGAAAAAAAGCACCTGCACTTACTCAATGCCACAAGAGCACTTGTGTTCCAATCAAGAACTCCAACTGCTTTATGGGGAGATTGTTTAACTACAGCAGTTTCTCTCATAAATCATATTCCATCATCATTGTTGAATAACAAGTCTCCTTCTGAGCTCCTATACAACATAGCCTAATTATCAGGCACAGAGTGTTTGGATGTTTACATTAGTGGTATAAAACAACTTCAAGGAAATTGACAGGCTTTTGAAATCTTAAAATCATATATTGGTCTTGACGATATTAAGGGTCATAAATTCAAGGCAGTCATTGGTGGAAATTCAGAATTACAAAAATTAACTTCCATAGATTTTTTTCCTTTAAAGTTAAATTTATGAAAACGCTCGTTATGTAAATGGCTGTATAAAAATAGGGATAGTACAAACATTTCTATGCATTAATAGCATATCAAATTATAATTATTAGATAAGAAATTCTTTACCCTAAGTGAGCTTGGTTCTATGTGCTTGGCATTGGTGCTGACCAAACACACAATTTTAAACATGGATCCAGCGCAGAAACTATAACTAGTAGAGTTGAAGTAAACGGGGTTCCATAGCTAATCAAACGTGAAACCAAATATGCACTAAATCATGCATAACAGCTAACTGAATTTTCAACATGAGGGAATATATGGATGCTGAACAGAAATAGTATTGCCAACAGGTGCATGTTCATGTGCACCAGAGTAAAGAGCCACCACGACATCAGGCTTATTTTGGCAATGCATTATTCATGCACAAGCCCTGAAAACATCAAAACATTTTGATAGTACCATAAAGTAGAAGAGAACCCTGCATGTATAACTATAGATAAATGATAACAATTTACCATAAACAATGACAAATAATAACATGGATATGCATTTGTGTTAAATACATCCAGGGAGAGTTTATCTATAGTAGTCCTACCGATTAAAGCAAGTTGTCTCGTATGACGAGTACCCAAGTTGTAGTCCAAAAATAAAAAAACATGATAGACTTGTTAAAACAAGATTTAAATTAGTAGAATATCATGCCTTAATGTCGTCCTACTCATCTTGGAGTTGTTGTAGGAGATTCGTCCATTATTTTAGTGTTATCCAACTACTTCAAAAGGACAAAAGCCTTCACTAGTGAAACAATACATAGCACTTGTGAGTTAGAAAACAGACCCCAACACAAGATGAAGGGTCTCTCCCTAGTGGTGCTGATCATTCTGATCCAACTAACAACATGGAAGTGGTCTATGGCAACATCAAAGGTTGTGTTGGTGGCACAGAGGACAGCCTCATTGACAGACTTGGAATCAGAGTTCTCCTTTGGTTCACAGGTGGCAAGAATGCTCTATGAAGTAAGTCAATCAGTTACTGGCAAAACAGACAATAGCAAATCTGCTTCTGTTAATTGCCCACAAAGTCAAAGGTACAGTAGCTGCTTGCCATCACCAACTGGAGGTGGCCCTGGCGTGTACATTTAAATGGCTACTTGAACTTAGACTCTTGTAATTGAAATACTTATATTTTCTAAAACACATATCAGAGCATTTCTTTTCGTCCAATTTTAACCCTTCTAAGTCTTGTATTATAAAACCTAAAATTTAATATTCTTTTTTCTCTATTTCACAAAAACTTGTAGCCAAATAAAATCTCATGATCACACCAATTTTAATCAAAACGTATGCTTAAATTATACAATAGTAACAATATTTTTGAGAAGTAACATCGAACCTTTTCCTTAGTTCTTTCAAGCAAAATAGGTAAAACATGCCCTAACCATATAAAAGTTTCTTTTTTCAAACATAATGCCATTATAAAAAAATATTTCTTTTTTCCAAACAAGATGATAACATCATCAATGTCCGGTATATAAAGCGCCGAGAGGTCATGGAGCATTACTCGTTTATGGCAATTGTAAAATAACAAATGAAAGTTGATGCCAACATTGACAGAAAATAAGAACATAGCAGTGAGAGAATATTTAAACAGACTACGGAAAATGAGGACAGTCACGTAAATGAAGATAAGATGGAAAAACTTCAATCAAAATGGCTTCTCCGTCAAGGTTGGGTATTACAATTAGTCACCTGCCAACTAAAATAAATGTCAAAATTGTAACAAACCAAATTACAATCTTATCCTCTTTTTTCCTTCAAAAAAATGACCTGGATAAAATCTAGATACTTAAGACAATTGCTTCAGTCGAAAACGTCCTCAGCGAACTACCAAACCTTGGGTTGCCTGGGACCCATCCTCTGTTATTTTATTGGCCTGAATGGTACTGATAACATTTGTAATATTTCCCTGGAAATAGGAAACAAGAAATCAAGCATCATAATCAAAAACCTTCTACTCGTGTTGAAACAATGGCATTTTATCTTCTTATCAGTCAACGATCAAAATGCCATCAAGTGCACTACCATCACGTAGAAAAATTAGATATAAAAATGACAATGATCCTTTGTGAAAAATTAGATAAGCAGAAGTAAACATTCCACACAAAAAAAAAAATTATGAAACAGCAGTTAAAGTTGTATACACCATCAATAGCATATATGTGAAATGTTTAGTGATATAAAAACAACTTTAAGGAAACTGACAGGCCTTTGAAATCTTAAAATCAAATATTGGCCATTATTTTAAATTTTAGGTCATAAATTCAAGGTAATTTTTGGCTTAAATGCTGATTTACAAAATTTAACTTCTGCAAATTTATGAGAACACTCTTTATGTGAATGGCTGTATAAAAATAGGGATGTACAAACATTTCTATGCATTGCATTAATAGCATATCAAATTATAATTCTGAATACTATAGATGAGAAATTCTTTACCCTCCATGTCACTAGCTTCGTTCTCAGTGCTTGCCATTGGTGCTGATCAAACACACGATCAGTATGATGACTGCACATTTAACAGTTGCATTAAATAATGTATATCAGGTAACTGAAGTTTCAAAATGAGGGAATATATGATGCTGAACAAAAATAGCTATGGCCAACAGGTGAATGTCTATGTGCACCAGAGTAAAGAAAGCCAAAAGGTGGGGGGGGGGGGGGAGGAGAGAGGAATGACATTTTGAGGCAGAACATACCTAACAACTACTACTTGATTCATCTGGTCCATCTTACAGTCAATTAACTTGGCAGTTATTGCTTTAACCACCCATAGTTCCACCTCATCATCATTGATCTGAAAGGGACATTCAAACATTTCAATTATGCTATGAAGAAGTCAAATACAAAAGTAAAAATCAAATACAAATTTACCCGAAGTGTATCCCTAATAAGTTCATATGGAATTTGGCCAGATCCATCAGAGCTAAGATCCACCAATGACATCAGCCTTATTTTGGCAATGCACTCTTCATGCACAAGGCCTGAAAACATCAAGACATTTTGTTAGTACCATAAAGTATAAGAGAGCCCAGCATTTTGATAAATGATAATCAATTATACATAAACAATGTTTACCATAGCTTTTCAACAAGGCAGAATTTGCAGCATGATAGTCTAAGTATGCATCCAGCCTCTGAGTAAGAAAAATCTTAAGAAGCTGATATAACAGAGCGTATTTGGCATCCTTCTCCAGTTGCCCAACAGCAGGCAAGTCTAGTAAGTCACACTACAACATAACAATACACTCAGTGCATACTCTTCCATAATTTAAAGCAATCAAGGCCA